GATCTGTTCTCTTGGAATGTCTGCGAGAAGCAGTCTGTGAATTGCAGTCGGGTGTCAAAGAGCAAACGATGATGGGTGTTTCTTGTGTGGTGCTGCCAAGAGGCAGTTGAAGAGGCAGTCGACGGCGTCGTGAAGTGGTGATTTGGGAAGGTTCCTAAGTAAGATGTATGAATAGATGGCTCGGAGATGAGGGCAAAGGCAGCTGAAAGAGTTATCACGATCCAGTGTGGTAGGTAGGTAGGTAGTCACGGAGAGAAGTCCTCCTGAGGTGACTGCCCTGCTGAATGGTGCTCGGCGTCAGCGGATGGCGGAGGAGGACGACAGTGGAGGGACGGCGCAGAATTCGCAGCTCATTCCCGTGGAAACCAAGCGCCGGCGCCAGTGGATAGGGCGTCAGTGCCACTACCAGCCCACTCCAAGTGCCGCTTTTCCCCTTGTCACCGGGTGATTTGGGGACACCGTGAGCTAAGGTACCTAAGGTACCTTCCATACCTTAACCCTTCAGTGACCGCCTTACCCAACTACCTTACCTTCCAGGTTACCTACCTGAGGTGAGGTGCGCTATCCGTATCAGTCGGGGGGTTCCGAGTCTGCATTTGGATTTTCAGCTCGCATTCATTTCAGCGCCCAGCAACCCAGGCGAGCGAGGCCAGGGGTTCAAACTTCGACGGCCTCCTTTGCCATGCCCTGCCTCTTTTTCTTTCTCCCTTTTTTTTTTCGGCCTCTTGTGCCCTACTACTTGGACATGTGGTATATACTTGCTTCTGTTTTATTGGCTTCATTACTGCATTCAGACGGCCAGGTGTCTAACCGTAATGCAAGAGCTTTGGACATTGCCCATCAGTATCATATGCTAATGTCAACCTGCAAATCATGAAGGTGCCTCAGTGCCCTCTTGCCATATGCCTAAATCACCACTTGTGGTGAGATGTCTACATCCCTACCTACCTAGGTCCCTACCTAGGGACCTAGGTCTGGACTCTGAGGATGTACCTGACATATTCGTACCCGAAAGCAAGACACCAGATGCCCGAAAGAATCAATTTAGATCCCTGTCATTCTCTTGCCTTTGCACTAAAACCCACACGCTACCTACCTACCCTCAGGAACTGCTCTGTTGGCGCCGAAGCGAACAGGACTCTCCGAGACCGATTGGCTGACACGTTTCGCGGCCCGTAAGACCAATCACATTGAAGTGACTGCTCCCGTCCTGCTTGTTAAAGAACTGTCCGTGGCTGTCCACATCATTCAACCGTCAACCGGACGGGATAGAAGATAAGTGTCGAGGAGGGAAAACGCAAGCGAGTTGGATGGCTGTTCGACAGCTGAACCGATTGCATTCAACCTGTGGCAGCATTTGAAATAAGCAGCATTGAGGGCTACCTATGTTACTGTCATGGTCGATTGGGATATTGAACAACGGCGAGGACTAACGTGGTATATGCCTTTCAGAGGTAGGTATACCCAATATGAGCATTAGACTTGCGCTATGGATAGGTAGGCAGACACTGCATTATTGCGCACAGGTAGGTATGCGGATGATTCCATTTAGTTAATATACTGGATAGTTTCCGTGGGCGTTCTGCCCGCCAGCGGAGAACGGGCCGACTCCGTGTTGAATATCCGACCATACCTAGCCCAGCCTAGATACGGACCTGATTACACGGTCAATGGACGTCGGTTGTAAACTTGTGATGGAATCTCAGAGATAGCGACTGACTGACGAACCGACTTTTTCCCTTTGGGTTTATTCCCGCTCAAAGCCGTAAGGGGATAGTGTCAGGTGCGCGCGCGCGCGTAGGCTTGCAGGCTTGCAGAAGGAAATAGATGGGCCCTCTCCGGTTTTTAATCCCGTCATGATGATGCCCTCCTTGTTAAAATATCATACACTGTGACGGTCTCTTTTACGCTCAAGTTTTTCGAGGGAGCAATTTGCAGCTACCTATTGTCGATGGTGATTATCACTCGATTCAAGCTTGCAGTCGTGCATTTTGATACTTCCGAGGCACCTTGGCTGGTGTCGTCGTACTTGAACAGCTTGTCTGCTCCCGTGTCCATACTCAAAGTTATCTAGATCCGGATATCCGTACTCTGTTTACAGACGTCCGTCCGGAGGACGGATACTGAGGCCAGCGAATGCAATTCTCGATGCCGATCGCAGGCCACCACCCACAGTGGAGGTCGCCTGTCTGTGTCCCAGCCACACTTTCCGGCAGCCGCCGGTGCGAGTGACAACACTGGAACCCGGGCTGGCAGGCACCGCCAACATCTTCCTACCTTAGGTAGGTAAGGTACCTTAGGTACCTACCTAGGTATGGATGGGTTACCTGTGGAACTTTGAGGTACCTCAGGTAGCCTGCCTGCCAAAGCCTTGAGGTAAGGTAATCAGCCTTGCCTGGCGGTTGGTATTTCAATTGGTCTTTTCTTGCTCACCTCTGCTCTTTTCCGATACCCAGCTTAACAGGCAACGAGGTCTCGTGGATATCGACATTCCATTCTTTTAGGGCCTCGAGCTTGCTAAGGTATCCAATCCAATGGAACTGGAGGCAGGCACTAATTAACCATGTGGCCCGGCAACATATGTACCTTAGGTAGTCCTGGCGGGGAGGTCTTCAACTCCGTCCTCCACGTCCCAAGCCACCTTCAGGTACCCGCTCGCTACTTCTAATCTTAAGTCTTGATTGGCCAAAATCAGTCTACCTGTCCCCCAATATCCCACCATGGCACAAGTGACTACCTAGGTAAGTACCTACCTTACCTACCTACCTACCTGAGGCACGGATAGAGACGTAAGCAGGAACAATGGAAAACAGCACCTCCTAAAGACACTGGTGTGAGATACCTAGGTAGCTAGTACTAGGTTTTTATCCAACGTCAGGTTGACGTGGAAGAAAGGAGACGAGAGTCTGGCCAGCCAACGTCGCCAGCCAATGTCATTGCTTGCTTCCCTGCGGCATCCGCTTACTTTATTTCTCGAGATTGCCACCGAGACCTAGGTAAGGTAACAACTTCTCGTTTGGCAAGGTCTGGTGTGGTTTTGACAACGACGACTACGACGATGGCGATGATAATGATGATGATTCCACTGTCGTTGGTCAATGTGTAGGTGAGTGTGTAGACGTGCAGTAAGGTACCTAAGGTCTACAAGGCCCGGCCGGGGGTGCCTTACCTGCCTTTACCTACCTAAGGTACCTACCTACCAGGTATCCGTAAGGTAGGTATGCAGAGTCCACGCCGTGGCGCACTGCCTACTTTCCTAACTGTGCTCACCTCAGTTTGGTCAGAGAAAACCAAGAGGAACCTGGAGGGACGGATAGGTACCTCGACCATTTCTGGGACTCCCCGGGCTCTACTCCCGTGGCAGGTTGACGTTCTTATCTCAGTTTGGCTGTATCTGTACCGTGTTCGAACACCAAGGACATGTTCCCTGCCTCCTCCTACCTCCTCTCCGTCTCTACCTTACCTCCCAAAAGTGCCCTTTTTTTTTTTTTTTTTTTTTCGTTTCAACTCCTGTGTTCCGTTTCCCGCCTTTGCCTTGTTCCAAGTATCCAGTCGCAATCTCAATCCGTGTGTTTCCCACCTCGAAACATGCCGACGTCATCGATCATTCGCAGCCGCCCATCCATCCAGATTCCACTGTACTAACCGGGCCCTGCTCCTTTTTTTTTTCTTTCCTTGACACTAAGGTAGTTCGGTAATATCATTTTATTCTCGACGGGTACGCTACTGCCACACTGCCCATGCAACCTACCTCGGAAGAGAGACGGAGACGTGGACCAGACTGGGCCCAGACTTGCTAAATCGGGACAGACGTACGTAGACACGGTCCCGTCTCTGGCGCACGTTCGTCAGTCGTCTCTCTTCTCCTGTTTCCTAGCAAGATTGCGCCTGTATTCCGAGCCTGCGCCTGTTTGAATCACGGGTGGGTGGATGGATGGCTTGAATCAATTGACTTCCCTCCTTGCTTCCTCGTCCCTTCTCCATCATCCCATCCCACCTCGTGCTTCGCTGCCCGCCGAAACTTATCCGGACTCCAACTCGTCCCGTCTTGTCTTGTCTTGCTGCGGTCCATCTTGACCTTGACCTTGACCTTGCCCTCCCTTCCCATCTGCTCGGCGTACATGCAGCTTCCTTGTACATCGGTTCGATCCCTTTCCTCCTCCTCCCACCTTACCTGTCCAACTCCTCCTCCATCTTGATTCGACTCCTTCACTTGGCCATCCTACGTTTACTCCCCAATCGACACCCTACCTACTTTACTTACGACTGCACATGTCCACGTCTCTCGCTGATCAGTGACCCGATACGACTCTCCCTCCTAGTCTGTCCTATCATTTCCCCGTCTCCCTCCCTCTTCCAGATGCCCATCTTCTGTTGAGCCAGAGAGAGAAAGAGAGAGATCCGACACCATTCCTCGCACAACGCCCTCGACAGACTTTCGCCCGGCACCAATTCACACACCTTCACCTCGAAAACTGCGCATGTTGGAACTTGTCTCGTTGATTGCTCGTCTGCGGTAGAAATACCGCCTCTGACCGAGCTTCCACCTCTGTCGTCATGGCACCCTCCATCCTCAACTTCAGAGCTTTGCGTCGCCGCTCCAAAGCCAGCTTCAAGACCGACCGGTCCAACACCGACATATCCAGCGATGCCAGCCAAGGCACCGCCCCGACACCCACGAGCGGCGCTTCGACACCACCGTCTCTCGCCTACGCTTCCGATCCTGCCCTCGATCTCCAAGTCAAAGACCCCAATCAGCAACCTCAAGCTCGCCCGCCGCTGCAGCCCGTCAATAATTCCCATCGACACAGCGTCTCCGGCATGGCAGGCTTGGGCTCTCCTGTTGTCAATGGTAAATCCAGTTTGCCCGTATCTCAGTATGCACCTCGAATTGCCAACGTTGCCGAAAATGCTTGGGTAAGTAGTCTGTGCGTGCCCTTTGCGCCGCGCTACCGTTCTCCTTGCATGCATCTCCAATCCTTTCCTCTGCTCGGACGGGAGCGTTACTCAGACAGCCCGCCACAGACGGCCGCGCCCGCCGTCAAGCGACTAGCTGCAGCTTCAGAGTGCGCTGCTGACAATTGAAAAGGTCTACCAAAAGGTGCTTCTCGTCCATGGCACCATCGGCGAGCCCTCCGGGCCATCTGTTGATGGCACTCTCTCAATAACCCGACTCGACGACAACTTCCCGCCAACCTATTGGCCAGTGTGCGACTCTCAGTTCAAAGCGCTCGTCTACTTGCAACCAGGACCGAATAAAATACGATTCGACTTTTCAAGCCCCAAGCTACCGAACAGCTCCTCTTCAAACCCCATCCATGCGTCCTATCTGACGGTCCATATGCTGCCGGCCAACAATGCGCCGCCGCTGCAGCTCGCGATCCTCGTAGCTAAGGACTCACCAGAAACATTCGATGCGGTTCCGGCTCGGGTCGAGCGAGAAGGCAACGATTTGGACACGGCAGTGCGCAAGTTCCGCATGGCCGCCTACCTTTGGCAAGCCTTTACAGCTGAGCAGATGTGGCGCAATAAGCTTGGCCGCCGGGTTTTCAGGTTCGAAGAGGAATGGGTAACCGGCACCTCGAACCACCGAGACCGCGAAAACGGAACGCTGCGGTCCGAAGCCAGAATACATGTCATCAGGTCGGACAAGACTGTCGCGGAGATACAGGATTTGGAATTGGCCCAACAGAACGAGAAGGCATCCAAAAAGGGAGACCTGTACGGGATCGCTGCCGAGGCAGTCAAACAACATTTCAAGTCGCTGGGCGGTCAGAAGCAGTACGTGTCAGTACTAATTCTCGACACAAGGTGGGACAAAGAGGCCAAGTTGGTGAGGGGCCACGCGGCGCTGGGAGGAAACGCTGGTAACTTGCAACTGGCCATCTTTGGCTCTCACTGCTTGCAGAGCTACCCTGCGAGCTTCGAAGAGGTTGTACCCGCGTTTACGGACTGCACTCCGACAGACCTCGAATTCGTTGCCAACGACTGCAACCAGGCAGGCAGCTCTTGGGAGGCTGCCAACATCGGCATTGGCGCGCACTTGCACGAGACGGGCCACCTCTTCGGATGCCCTCACCAGGAGACTGGCGTCATGCTGCGCGACTATCTCACGCTCAATCGAAGCTTCGTTGCTCGTGAAGCCTTCTGCACGAGAACCAAATCCAAGGGTGGCCTAGTAGGCCAAAGCGATGAGTGCGGCTGGCATCGATTGGACTGCTTGCGATTCCGGAGTCACCCCTGTTTTAGACTCCCCAACGATCCTCCGATGAACCCCGACGATAGCATTCACGCTTTCCCCGTCGAAGGCGGCAAGGTGGTAGTCATGGCGGCGACGGGCATCGCCTTCATTGAGGTTTTCGCCGAGGACGACGACGTTTGTCGGGCATGGATCGAATACCTGGTAGAGAGTGGCTCGGTTCAACGCCAACTGACTCTCAGCGACCAGGAGCTGCGTGAGCGGCTGCCAGAAAACAAGCGGAAGGGGCGACTCAGGATTGCCGTTAAGTCTCACGGAGGCGGCACCCTAGACATTGATGACTTCAAGAAACTGGGTTCCAAGGAATCCTCGTTCAAATTGACACCTGGTCCACTTGGGAAGACAGCATTCCGGGGAAAGTCCCTAGGACTCTCGTCCATGGAGGGCAGTGAAGCACAGGAAGTTGTCTTCGAGAGCGCGGTCAAACAGAACAGGGTGCTGTCGAAAATCATCTTCTACCACGGGTATGCAGTAGACGGCGTGGAATTCGTGTACGACGACGACTCAACACAGCTTTTTGGGAAGAGGGGGGGCAAGGAAGGCGGTGATGTTTTCGACTTTGGTAAGACAGCCCCCGCAGTTGAAGTTGCTCAGTTCTCGTTGGCTAATGGTGGAATACGTCAGACATACGGCGGGGCGAATACATTTCGGGCTTCCTTGTCCGATCTGGACATTGGATCGATGGCATTCAGGTGCTCACCAGCCTGGGCAGGAGGTCACCCATCTACGGCAATGCTCATGGCGGATCTGCGTACGTCATGCCAACGAACAATTCTTGCGACGCAAAACTGACAAGCTGCCAGGCACACGTTGATTCCCCCCAGAGGATACACCATTTGTGGCGTTGGCGGCTCATGTGGCCCTTGGGTCGATGGGTTCTCGATCCTCATCGTTAAATGAAACAACCGTGTTGCCATTGCAAAGGAAGGACCTAGTAGTAATGCGGTTGAGGAACAGGAGGAACAGGATGACCGAGTATCACCATTCATCGAGAGGGATTGCTGGCTCAGTAGAGCCGTTGATTGGATTCGCACGCCTATGATACCATTTCCTGGCGACGTGCGCCTTTATTCTGGAGTAACAAACAACGGGGATATAACATCGGTTTCTATCAGAGGGATAACCCAAATAACAGGGCCCAAGGAACGGGATACATACTTAGCACACGTGGCGTCTTGGACATACTAGAGATACTACAGCGGTAGCTGTGTAATAACTACACGCCACGGACAGGTGTGTCACAGCGGCAGGAGGTTGGTTTACTTTGCCTTTTCTGTATATACGTGGGCGGGTACAGTCGCGCCGGCCGCGCTCATGACCAAACGGAAAGTGTTGAGATTTTGGCATGAAGCATGTTGGCTCGCAGGCACACGCGGATCATGGAATGGCGACGTCATACAGATACCGGGGCCGGTGGCCGGTGGCCGGTGGCTAGACAGACATGCCAAGTTGATTGTTATATGCACGCACATGCAACCAAGTGTTTGGGTGAAATAGACCATCATCCGGTGTCAAATGCAAGGGCAAATTAAACGCTGTACGGAACACGAGTTAGGACGGTGTCCTACCGCAGCACGTAAGGTGCCTAGGTACATCCATGAAAGGGCAAACAGCGTGGAAAGACACAAGCCACAGACCCCTCCCCCTCCTCCTCGGGCCGGAGTCGTAGGGATGCGATTTTGACCTAGCCTTGAGGTGATTCTACCTTACCTCCCCTACCTTAGGTAGGTAGGTGGCGGTACGTACCGAGACACCGCCTACACAACTCGCCAACGCGGGACGAATCACGTGCGGCAGCGGCAGCTGCAGCTCCCACTAGTCGCCTCCAAGTCTAGAACCGACAGGGCTATGACGGCATGTGCCTTTCCCTGCCATCCTTGTTGATTTTCTGAGGCGGAAGAGTGTGTGACCTACATCTGCACCTGAACCTGCACCTGCACCTACCTACCTACTTTTACCACTCGTACATCGGCACCTGCACCGCCTGGGGGCTCAACGGTATTCCTCAGTACATAAACTCCAAACCCTCGCAATCTGCCCTCCCCCGTCGCCTTTTCCTTACCTTGCCTTACGAACTCAGCTATATTTCCAGCCGCCACCGAGTTCAAACAAGACAAGAAAAGACTGCAACATTCCGCTCTGTACCGCAAATAGACGCGAGATCGGACCCAAACACACCACCATGTCGAAGCGAACGAGCAGCGCCGTGACAAACGGCAGCGCCGCCAAGGATGCCGGCAACTTCAACGCCCCGGGTATGTCGTCGCCCACTACATGGCATATTGTGCGATGCATGTCCCGAACTTCAGAAGCTAACCAGACTGCTTTTCTACAGCCTACGACAAGCAGAAGCTCCTCCTGTCTGCCGACACTGGCCACTTCTCTCTCATCCGCGCCCTCCACCTCGCCGACGTCATTACCTTGTGCAATGGTGCGTACATCCCTCGCCTAGAGTGTCACGGAACCAATCCTCAATTGCGACAAGATGAGGACACCTAGCTGACAAGTTTGACCTGCCGTTCATAGGTGCCTGCGGCGTCATGTCCATCTTCACCTCCCTTCGCTACTGCCTTGGCGACCCTGCGTCCGTAAACACGCTCTATCTCGCCCTCTTTTTCCTGCCATTTGGCTTGTTCTTCGACTTCATGGACGGCAAAGTCGCGCGGTGGAGGAAGAAGAGCAGCATGATGGGTCAGGAGCTTGATTCCCTGGCCGACTTGGTAAGATATATTACAGAGCACCGAAGGGGAATGACAAGACTAATCCTCGCCAAGATCTCCTTTGGCGTCGCTCCCGCTTCCGTGGCCTTCGCCCTCGGCCTACGCACCGCTGTTGACCATGCCTGCCTGACCTTCTTCGTGCTTTGTGGGCTCACCCGTCTTGCTCGCTTCAATGTCACCGTTTCGGTTCTCCCCAAGGATGCGACTGGCAAGAGCAAATACTTTGAGGGAACGCCCATCCCCACGAGTCTCGGTCTCGACGCCGTCATGGCCTACTTCATTTCACAGCGCTGGATTTTGCAGGACCTGCCTCTTGGAACATGGCTCGCTGGCTCAGCCTTTGAATTTCACCCCATCGCCCTCATTTTCATCATCCACGGATGTATGATGACGAGCAGAAGCATCCACATCCCTAAGCCCTGAGTGCATCTTCGAAATACGGTGTTGACGAACAGATGGCTCACGAGGATGAGGAAAGCAGGGTCGCCTGAGGTGATTGGATTTGCAGGTGTGCTTATGCGCCCCCCCACACCATTGTAATGGGTGGTGCTGACTGGTGACCCTGTCAGGTATTGTCGTCTTCTGGTTACACGCTGAGCTTCCAGTTTCTGGTGTTCTTTGGGTTATTTCAGAGTCATTATCATTACGGCGTACAAATTGGGACGTGACCGGATAGGCAAGAAGCCCGGGGTTTTCCCGTCAACCTATATAGCGCATACGCAAACATGCATGATACCCTTTTCTCCCATCACGTCCATTCATTTAATCCGAGTCATGTGTATGTCAATCATCTTTCTGAACCTGCATCCCGCGATTCGGGAGCATAAGCCATGCTTCTAGTCTAGGCGCTACCTGCCTAAGTGTAACGTGTCAACTCCCCACCAATCAGTCGTATTTATTCATGCCTCCTTAGCTACGGGCTTCGCGGCAGCAGGAAAGGGGTTGTAAGTACCACGATCCTCGCGGAGCTTCTTGAGCTTCTCGATCGCGTCATCCAGCGCAACCGGCTTTCCACGGTCCTGGCTGGAGGTGTCGTCACGGTAGCGAACATTGACCTGTCTACCCTTCATCTCCTCATCACCGACGACGAAAATGAAGTTATATTGGCTGTTGCAATTAGCAGGCTGGTCCGGAGTATGAAATAACCATAACACACGTACCTTAATTGAGCGCTGCGGATCTTCTTGGGAAGAGTGTTGCCTGTCAAGTCAATATCGCTAGTGTAAAGGTTAGCGCGGTGTCACTTCTGCTCAGCAGAGATGCAGAATCACATACCACCACATGCCCTGCTTCTTGAAGATGGATTGGACCTCCTCAGCGTAAGAGACGAAGCCCTTGCCAACAGGAATGACCATGATCTGTCTGGGGCTGAGCCAGAAAGGCCACTTGCCCCCAAAGTGCTCAATGAGAATACCTGTGATGGCGTTAGCACGAAATTTACTTTGGACGTCGTGGGGTGCACTTACCGGTGAATCTCTCAATAGAACCGGCCATGGCACGGTGAATGATGACAGGGCGCTGGCATCCATTCGTCAGGGGTTTTATCACTCGCTTCTTCGTGTCCTCCTCGGTCTTGCCGGCAGCGGAGTCGATGATAGCCTGAGGGTCTTTAGCCTTAACTTCAGGAGCCTTGGGAGCGACGGCCGCCTCTTCCTCCTTGGGCTTAGGTGGAACATCTGCCGAGATGTATTCCAGGCCAAAGTCTGCAGTGCGTCAGCTTGCTTTTCACCGTCATCGATATTCGCGCAGGCGACGCTTACTCTGCGGGAGCTGGAAGTCGAGCTGAATGGTAGCACATTGCCATTCCTGATATCATTGTTAACTTGCCATCATGGACCATATCAGAACAAGTCTCACCCTGTTCAGGACATCCATGATCTTGATGTCGATCTTGGGGCCGTAGAAGGCACCATCACCCTCGTTCAAAGTCCAGGGCACGCCTGCTGTAAGTCAGTATCTCTCAGTTAATGAAGCAAGGTGCAAGGTGCAAGGTGCTCATTTCCTACCTCCAGTCGTAGCCGCAAACTCGTCCAAGGCCTCCTTAAGCATGCCTTCTGCTCTGTTCCACGTCTCAAGCTCACCCATGTACTTCTCAGGGCGAGTGGAAAGTCTGAGCTTGAAAGTAAAACCCAGGAGGCCATACATTTCGCCGAGGAAATCGAACAAATCGCTGATTTCTTGCTTGATCTGGTCCTCTCTGCAGAAGATGTGGGCGTCATCCTGCTGGAATCTGCGAACACGGGTCAGACCAGACAGGGCGCCGCTTGCCTCGTTGCGGTGAAGAACTACACGCGCAAGGTTTAGTGACATTGCTTCTAACTCAACGGCCCAGCCGTAACTCACCTCCAAAGTCGGCGACTCGCCAAGGCAGCTGATGGTAGGCCTTAGGAGTGTGGGCGAACATGAGACAGTGACCGGGGCAGTTCATCGGTTTGAGACCAAACTTCTCCTTGTCAACGTCGATGACGAACATGTCATCTTTGTAGTGGTCCCAATGCCCACTGATCTTCCAGAGGTCCGCGTTGTACATGTTGGGACTGATAACCTCGTGGTAGTCACGCTTGTAGTATTGTTCCTTGATGTAGGCCAGGAGGGTGTTGTAGATACGGGCACCGTGAGGCAGCCACATGGCACTGCCGGGCGAGAGTTCGTGGAAGAAGAAAAGCTGCTGGTCCTGGCCGATCTTGCGGTGATCACGGGCGGCGGCCTCCTCAAGCCACTTCTTGTGCGCAGCCATCTCTTTCTTGCTGGGGAAACTGACACCATACACTCGCTGGAGCGAGTCGTTCTCTTGCGAGCCAAGGAAGTAAGAGGAGCTGTTCTTCATGATGCTGAAAGCCTCGATGCGGTCGGTGCTAGGAACGTGGGGTCCACGGCAAAGATCAATCAGGGGGCCGTTCCGGTAAACCGTGGTCTTGGTGCCGTCGGGAATCTTGTCGTTGATGATGTGCTGCTTGTACTTGTTGTAGCTAAACATCTCAAGGAGCTGCTCCTTGGTCATCTCGAGACGCTCAAACTTCTGCTTCTCCTTGACAATGGATCCCACAATGGACTCAAGTGGCTTCCAGTCGCTAGCCTGGACGGCAGCGCCATCGGGGAGCGCCATCTCGTAGTAGAAGCCGTTGTCGACAGGGGGTCCGATGCAGAGGGAGCAGCCGAATCTCCTCTCGCACGCCTCACCAAGGATGTGCGCCGAGCTATGCCAGAACACCTGCTTGCCTTGCTCATCCTCGAAGTTCAGCAACTCCAGCTTGCAGCTCTTCTCCAAGGGCCTATCCAGATCCCACAGTTGTTGCTCATCGCCGTCCAGTCTCGCGACGACAGTGCGCTTGTATAGGCTATTGGAGATGCTCTTGGCGATCTCACCGGGGGTGGTCTCGTAGCTCGTGCCCTGACGGATTGAGCCGTCAGGCATGGTGATGGTAATGGGCTCACGAGGCCTGCTGGCCAGGTCGGCGTCGTATTCCTTCTTCAACTTGTCGAACAGGTCAAGACGCTTCTGCAAGAACTCGGGAGGAGGGTTGAGCTCGAGGGGCCCCGCCGACGCATCGCCAGCGTCCTTGGCTTTCTTCTCCTTCTTGGGGGCCTTGTCTTTGTTAGCGCCACCAAGGGCGACCTTTTTGACGCCCTCAGCGACGGAATCGACGGCCTGCTTCGCGGATTCCATGGTATCGTCCAATTGAGGGGTTGTTGTGGTGCGGAAGGGTGGAAACGAACAGACAAGAGGCCAAGAATCAAGACAACAATTTTGGGCGGAACGAGCAAGTCACCCCGCCAAAGCTAGGTACGGTGAGTCAAACAAGGGTTCGGCAAGGCGCTGCTGTCCCGCACCACGCAAACCACCGTACCTAAGGTGCCTCACCCGCAAAAGCAGCCGCCACTTTGACCCCTGTCTTAGGTTGCCTTCCATGGTGGGACGGGACACTTCCAGGTTGATTTTTTGGCGGGGTCGTTCGGAGTTACTCATGTTCCGCCCCGGTGGAATCGGCCAATGAGAAAGCTCGATTGGCGTGCACCACAATTGGGTCGCTGGAAATTTTCTGTCGGCTCGCCAATGGCTTCGTTTTCCCAATCGCAGCAGCAGTAGCAGTAGGCACGAGCAGCTCTCCCAAGTCACAGCCAACCCACCATCAATATGTCGTTTGGACGAGGAGCTCCGCGCGGTCGCGGCGGCGGTGGTTTCGGTGGTCGCGGCGGCGGAGGTATGTCTTTTTTCCATTTTATCCTGCTTTTTTTTGCCCTTACCGCAGCATCCCCTGCAGAGTCGACGCTCGATGTCTCGAGTTTGCACCTTACTGACACAGTCGCCATATAGGCCGTGGTGGATTCCAGCAGAGAGACATGGGCCCGCCCGCGACGATTCTTGGTATGTCCCCAAACGCGCACTCTAGACTGTGTCCCAAGAACCGCCTACCTGACCGATGACTTCGTGTGGCAGAGATGGGCAAGTTCATGCACGCGTGCGAAGGCGAGATGGTCTGCGAGAGCATCAACCCCAAGGTTCCTCACTTCAACGCTCAGATTTTCCTCGAGAACAAGGTGCGACCGATCCGTCGAACATTTCCCCCGGTCAACGCGACAAAAATTTCTAACACCTTGACAGACGGCTGTAGGCAAAGTGGATGAGGTCCTCGGCCCCATCAACCAGGTCTACTTCACGATTAAGCCTTCCGAAGGCATTCAGGCCACCTCCTTCAAGGAGGGCGACAAGTTTTACATCGGATCCGAGAAGCTCCTACCGCTGGACAAGTTCCTTCCCAAGCCCAAGCCTCCCCCAGGTGCCCCGAAGTTGAAGCGTGCAGGCCGTGGTGGCGCTGGCGGCAGAGGCCGCGGCGGTCCTGCTTTTGGCGGACGCGGCGGTGGCAGAGGACGCGGAGGCCCGTCAAGAGGCGGACGCGGCGGCAGCGGCTTCGGAGGTCGCGGAGGCGGCGGCTTCGGTGGCCGTGGAGGAACACCGAGAGGCGGTGGCGGCTTCGGTGGTGGTCGCGGCCGTGGAGGTTTCAGCAGAGGACGGTAGGCTCACACCGAGGTCATCAGCTCTTAAGGGGTTGGGGGAGGTTTTCTTCTGTTGGACTACGACTCTGGCGTTCGGGTTTGCTTTGCTTCGACATCAGTCCTGGCGAAAGGGGCTCAAGGCTGCATGTATATCATCCACTATGGTCGCTTAAAAAATAGGTCTTGATCGCGGGCTCCGAGATTGATTCATCGTCCAGCAGGTGTTGTTGGTGTTTTTTCCAGGCGGGTCGCGATGAGTGCGACGCGTGTTAGCTCGTCGTAGTGTGGCTTGGCTTTTGGGTTTGATGGGCCTGATGCAACCCTCGCATCTTTGGACAAAATGATTGATGTTGGCTGGATGCTTGCTCGGGACGCGGAAAGAACCTGAGCGATAGACGCCTTTTGGTGCTAGGTTGACGTAGGAATATGGCGCGGCTGCGGGCTTAGTCTAAGGCCAGGCAGGTTGGTGCCTGTTTCCATTTTTATCACAATAGGTACCCACGACCATCAAGTGAGGGACCCTTGGTTTTATGATGTCTCTCACACGTTCATCCCAAACCGAGCAGGTCTCGCTATAACTTTTTTTCGTCGCATTTCTGTCATCGGACGATGAGGACGTACTCTGATCTGATATCAGATGGTCTTGGCCTTTGACCTCTCCCAATACTTTGACGTTCTTGACGCGTTTTGGGGAAAGACATTACGAGATGAGATCAGCAACTAATGGCCACGCGAAGGATGTAATGCCGGTGGCGGTGTTCACTGCTCGTGGGGCACAATTGGCGCGAGTCCTCATCCTCCTCGCTTCAGCCTCAATCATCCGCTGGGGTTCAACTCCGACATACACACATGCTAGAGCTAACAACCAAGCTAGTGCTCATGGGCTATCGACGGCGACGGCTTTTCATTCGAAGCTCTTGATGGCACATCCTTCAAGTTGACTCTGAAGCATCACGGAGCCCGCCAGACTACCTTACATAGTCGTATCTCATATCATATGGAAGTTGGATTCCCGACTGTGAGATCGACACTCGTTGGCAAACATGATGAGATGTATCATGTCGTACGGGCGGCCCGCGGGAGAAGAAGGATATACACGTACATTGGGACAGGCGATCGAGCACTAGCTTCCAAGGGCTGTAACTACCGGATGTCAACGAAACTTGTCGCCGATTGGCATATTCTGGATCCAACTCCATTGCGCAGGCAGGCCCGTCTCTGGGCGGCCGTGTCACGCACGGCTCAGACTCCATGACCGAACAACACCAACATGTATCGCCTGCGCCAGCCACCCTCCCCTTGCAAGCCATTGACAAAACCCGTTTTGACGAGGGGCTCAAGCCTCGAGGGCTTCGTTTGCTTGAGCAAGCTGATGCGCGGCAGGGTAGGCTAAGGCACAGCAAGGTCGGCGTAGCTCTGTGTTTCTATTGCTGTCCGCTCATCCTTCCAACGGGAGATCCGCTTCCTGGGGGCTTTCGCCGTTCCATTCATCCCCCAGCCGGTTATGGGTTAGGAATCCACCCAGCTGAATGCGTTGATCTACGGGCCCTTCGCACCGGGTCGACTCGTCGTCTCTTGACTTCCCTCTGTTCTCTCCTTCGCACATTGACCTTCTTTTCCTATACCCAGCTTCGTTCCCATTCGAAATATACTCCTGTCTGTGTCGGGAATGATGCCTCATGTTTAGTACAAACACTTACGAGTAGACGCTCACTCATTGCCAAGATACCAATCTTCCCAAATGAATTCAAAGCACGCCTGTGGACATGACAAGCTCACCTGCGTCGTCGGCTTCTGTTCACACGCCAACAACAGCATGGGAGACGCGAAGTGCCACAGATGCCATGCAGAGGGTGGCCGATGTCATGATAGCCGTTACCGAGTCCTTCAGACAGCAATTCCGAGAACATAGTGCCGGCAATGGCGCCGTTGGCCCAAACGTACCAGGAGACTTGGGATGGCGGGCATCGGCTCCGGAGCTTGTGTCTCCCATCATCGAAGACAACCACACACATTCGTCGCCGTCGAGACCTAGCACAGCTCCCTCAACGTTCGATTCCCAAAGAATGGCACCTGTTTCCCCGATATCACCTGAATCACCAGGCTCACTCCGCGAACCCACGATTCCTCCGTTTACTCTGGCCGGCCCCCTATCCAGCCATCCAACAGTATACTTCCAAACGTCTCGCAGCACTCCAGAGATACGCATACAAACGCCAGACCCCGTAACCATGTCTCCCAATACTGCGCACGGCGTAGCTTTGCAAAGGGGCCTGGCACCGGAGGCATTGGCACACCCATCAGAGTACCCAAACTTATTCGAAGCCGCGCGAAAGATAGTCATTACCCAACGAGGAAGATACCCCGACTACTCACCAGTTCCGAGTCGCGAAAACCTTCGCTTCTCAACAGCGACGCAGACAGATGCCCCAGAAGACCATATCCCATGGGCAAGGCAGAGTCATCTGTATCAAGCTCAACCGCTCTTGGAGAAAGCCCCTCAGCCAACCTTGACTTTCCGCCAAGAAGCGTCACTCGTGATAGTCGTCAGTCTCTACCAGGTACTAATGTTCGCCGGTCTCTCGCAGGCCATCGCTCCCGCTCTGGAAATTGCGGACACGCTCACCGACATGACGACAGGTCAGCATTCGTGGCTTACAGCAGCTTATACCCTGCCCCTGGGCGTCCTCGCTCTGCCCTCAGCCCGTTTGGGAGACATATTCGGGCACAAACGCACTGCGATATATGGATGTCTCTGGTTCGCTGTCTGGTGTCTCCTCGCTGGGCTTTCTCTCGGCGTACAAAAGGGCGGCTATAACGGCGCCGTATACATGTGCATTTGCCGTGCTATGCAGGGCATTGGCCCAGCCCTTTCCGTGCCCAACGGCTTCTCCATCCTCGAAGCATCTTTTCCGTCTGGCCAAAGAAAAGACACGGCGTTGTCACTGTACAGTGCCGCCGCGCCTTTCGGTTTCGTCATCGGCGCCGTAATGTCATCTCTATTCGCTGTCAACACCGCATGGGAATGGTCCTTCTTCGTACTCTCTGCCGTCTGCGTCTCTGCCGCTGGGCTCAGCGCTCTTGTTCTTCCACGCCGGGACCCCCGCAAGCTACGTTCCGGGAACAGCATCTGGATGAAACTCGACATTTCAGGCATCCTGCTCGGCGCCACGGGCCTTGTCCTTTTCAGTTTCGCGTGGAACCAGGCTCCAGAGGTGGGCTGGCGGACGCCGTACACCTACTTTCTCCTCCTCATCGGGATATTGTTCATCGCAGCTTTCTTCTATAATGAGACCGCCGTGACAAATCCTTTGTTGCCCGTGCGAATGATGAACTCGTCAACGAACCTGGTTCTGGGCTGCATAGCCGCCGGCTGGGGATGTTTCATCATCTGGGCTTTTTACAGCTTTCAGTTCGTGGAGATATTGCGCGACTGGGACTGCCTCCTCGCGAGCGCAGGTTTCGTACCACTCGCTATCGTGGGTATCGCGGCGGCTGTGCTGTTGGCTTATCTCCTGTCCGGCGTGGAGGTATACTGGGCCTTCGTCGGATCCTTGATGGCTTTCCTATTGGCGTCCGTGTTGATGGCAACAAGCCCGACGAGTCAGACGTACTGGGCAAACACGTTTGTTAGCAACTTGCTGGCGCCCCTTGGCATGGTAATGTCAGGCCCCTTAGCAACAGTGCTGTTGAGCAACAGCCTCACAGAAGAATACCAAGGCATCGCCAGTAGCTTGGTCTTAACCATCTCAGCGTACAGCATGTCGATTGCCTTGGGGATAGCGAGGACTGTCCAAGTACAAGTAAATCAAGGAGGGCACGAAATGTTGCCTGGACTTCGGGGAGCGCAATGTTTCGGGCTTGGGGTTGGTGGATTGGGAGCAACACTGGCAACTGCTCTCTTGCTCCAGTGTTTCTCCGACAGGAAGAGGGGATGACGTTCGATTAAGGGGGGTGGGCTCAAAGCACAACATTTCTTTCGCATTTGATCTGAGAGTATCTTAGAATTGACGTTCGAAATCCAGCAAAAGAGTCCCCACTGCCCTGAATTTTCTTCTGCAGCGCCTCGCTTTCTTTCGTCACCTCTTCCAATGTACGTGAAATGGTTGGAAAAAACCAAAAACAGGAAAAAGAACAAAAGAAACCGAGCATTTGTTTCAACGTGACGACTGAAACCCAAATCTCACCACTGTATTGTCCATCCTTCACACCGTGTACGCCGTTACGTATTCCTGCAGCAGCCGATTACTGTCTCGCCTCGACAGTTGGCGTGCCGCCCTTGGGGTATTCGCCAGGAATGTGTAAGTTGGAAATCGTCGGAACACTATCGTTCCTCATGGTGCCGACCGTGGGCCGTGTAAGAGACTGACGAAGGAGATCCTGGTTCTTAGGAGCAGGTTTTCCGTTTGAAGAAACATCGATCTGGGTGTGTCCATTCCTCAGCCCGTGTCCGCCCCCAACTCTGACGTTTGGGTCCGCGTTGACATCCCCTCCACTCCGGCCACCAGATGCAGGGTATTCATTGGTGTTTTGCGGTGAAAAAGCCTGATGAGAAGCGTCCGACGTCTGCTTCCCGCTGCCATTCATCCAGTAGCCGTACTGACTGTTGCCGCCAGGTGTCTCGAGACCGCGCTCATAATCAATGGATGATGCGGGCCGAGAATCATCGTCAAACTTGGCTGGGGTGACCTGTTGGCTATGTGTCCTTTGCATGCCCGTCGAGGAGACGTATGCTGCGTGAGACCTTCGGTTCAAAGACTGGGAACGACGCAGTGGCTCGTTCGTGTAAGGATTGACGCCATCTTCCTTGGCTTGCTGGCTGACGATTGCTGCATTGGAGGGCGTCTCTTCCATCGGAGTCCGAACAGTGCCACCGTATCCGTTGGGGTGAGAAGCGCTCAGCATGCCGCCTGGCAAAGGAGACGGTTGAACAGTCGCTTCTCTTTCCAAGTTGTCGAAACCCGAGCTTACACTAGATGGCGAAAGAGGTGCCTGTAAGCCTCGCTGCGCGTTGACCTGGATGTCGGATGGGAACCGCCCACCTGCTTCGGGACGGCGAAGGTCCTGCTTCGAGCTCGTGCTGGCTGCGACTGCTGTGTCCGCCGAGTATGGTTCGTCGTCGTCGTCGTCGAGAACACCGTCGCTGCTAATGGACCGCTGTGAAGACTGGCTGAGACTCCGGACGTGGCCTCGCACAAATTCGCTCCTTTCTTGCGGTGACCGTTCGGTGAGCACCTTAATGTCTTCATACCAAGCCATCATGGTATCGTGACTTTCAGCCCGGAAAACCCATGTGTGGCCACGGTGCATAGATCCCGTTTGGCGTCCCTTGAGGATAAACTTGTTCGAAGACCCTCCCTCACTGGAATGAGAACCTAATTTCTGCTCTGGAAGGTACAAGGACATGACGGGTGCTTGACCCTTGTCCGCCGATTTGAATTCATGAAGATGAGTCGGAGAAAGTACATACCTAAAACCCGACGAGTATTGTCAGCTTCCATGGAACAAACTCTCGCGAGAAATCATGTCAATGCTTACCAGCCTGCGGTGTAGCTCTTGAGGTACTTGCTCTTGCGTTCGAGAAGCCCGGCCCGGATCTCCTGGCTGGCGACGTGATCTCGGCCAGGATAGTGTATGTGCTCAGCCGAGCGAATCGGGATATTGGGATCAACGAATTGGTCGTCCTTCTGAACAAAGTACGTCCACTCATGGTCCTTGGGCATCGAGATTGGCCCGATACGGAGCTCCTCGATAGCGTTGTAGGCGGCGTCGGACTCACGCTTAAGGATCCCAGCATATGCATTATACGCCTTCTGGATCTCGCCAACCACGATGGATTCCAATTCGCGACCGGAGTTTTCCAAGTTGAGATAAGCTTGGTGGAGATAGTTTTCCTCGTCAATTTGTCGTTCGACTTGTCTGTCGACAGCAAGACGTAAGAGATAGGGGTCTTGCTTGCCGGTCGTCAGGGATGGGTCTAGGTCGCTTTGGCCTAGTGTATCCTGCAAAACCTTGACGGCTCTCCGAGTGCCGTCCATCTCCTTTTCGACAGAGTTCTTGAAGTCGCCTGACAGATTCTTGATCTCCTTAATCTTTTGGTGCAGGTCGCTTCTCAGGCCTGTCAGCGCCAATATGACGTCCTCTTCGATTTCCTTGGCCTTGTTGGATTCAAGGATGGCACTCTTATGGTAAGTACGCAGCATTTGTAAGGCATCGTCGATACCTCCCGATTCGAGAAAGCCGGGCGGAGTGGAAATGTTATTGGCGACGTTAGCGAGCTTCAGAAGCGACTTGGACTTGTGCTCGTAATGTGTCTGAATCTCGCGGTAGTATGCGATTAAATCCTTGAGAATCTTGCGCCAAGCTGCGGTAGGAGTCAGTAGGTGCCACCAAGATTGTTTCCTCGCGTCGACTGTGACTTACACTGAAACCTGTTGGATAGTGCCTCAGTAGGGTTGCCAGATGTCGGAACGGGACAGTGGAAGGCGCTATGCGCCTCGTCGGGATCTGAAGTTGACTGCAATGCTAAGCTGCGGACGCTGCCGGCCTTCATACTCCTCCGACTGCTGCTGCGCTTGAGACTGCCATTCCTGCGCAAGGAGCTCTTCTTCTTGAGAGTATTGTGCCTCGAGGGGAGGTTCAGGTGATCCTCCCCGGCGTTGGAAACGAAAGAGTTCGAGCGCGGCATGTTGGAAGACGGCCCGTCTATAATACTACTGCCTCTTTGACTTGCATCCCACTCCTCTGTGAACTTGCCGCGGGCAGTGGCTGGAGGTACAAGCAGGGTGCTGTTCGCAGCCAGGTTCTGGGTATCGTAGTAAGCAAGATCGCCGTCTTGCGAAAAGTACTGCGGGTGATGGCCAGTGTTTGAATTGGCGAGAGTGTTGAATTGTGTTTCTTGGTCTTCGTCGTACTGCACAGGAGCAGCTTGGGAGAGGGGAGTAGAAGAGGTGGTAGCGGGGGGTTGTTGGGGGAAATAAGAAGAGTTGCGATTTGAGTTCGTGGCTGGCGCGGCGGCGTATGGGGATCGATCTTGTAAGTCCCTTTCCCTGTAGGAATCAGCATCGGCGAGGTGCGGCGGATGGTTTGATCTTGGGGTGGGTGAGGACGCGAGCGGGGATCTAGCGGCCATGATTTGGGATGTTTGGACGTAGGCGTAGATGTAGTCTAGTCTGGTGGTTCAAGGTCTAGCGCATCAGGGTCAAGACGACCGGATCCTTTTTAGACAATTTAGCGTAGAAAAGAGTCGCGTCTAATGATTATCGAATGGCTGGCTGGCGTACCGCGTCGCCGTATGTTTGACGCAATAGCAGCCGGAAGAGCTATACTGAAGTATGGGCTCAGACCAATGTCGTCATCAAGGCGCGCGAGTCGCAGCGGTGGCCCCCGATTCGTCTCGGTGGAATGTTGGAGTGTCTTGGTCGCCTGAGAGAGGAGATTGAAGTACTAGTAGTTTCGCACCTGGGAGACCGGGCCAGAAAGGGGGACGACGAAAGAAAAAAGACAAGTTCGAGTTTGGGTGATAAGGTCGAATCGGCCACGGACCGTGTCATAGACGAGATGTTCTGCAGGCCTTGGGAATGTTGCGTTCGTGTAGGTAAGGTAGTGTAAGAAAGAAGACGAGGATAAGACACGAGAGAGGAAATCGGCAATGCAGGCAGGAAAGAAAGGTAGGTAATTAAACGTTTGTCGCCAGGCCGGAAGCCGGGCCCTGTCATTCGAGCCAGCAAGCGGGCGAGCAGGGTAAGGTGAAGGAGGGGTGTCGGAGCTGGGAATCAACACCCGCAGCTATGTACCTTGTCATCAACCAGTCTGGCTGTGCCTTTTTAGTGCGTGCTGGTCCTTCTGCACAAGCTCACCCATTCATACACTACAGTGGCATCCATGTCATGCCACGCACATGCGATGCTGGTCCTTGCCATCATCCATCCACAAGTTCTCCGAATTCCTGAACATCGCCCTCGGTCTGACCCGATAAAGACGATTTGGGATGGCATTTCTTCCATCCCATCATCAATTGTCGGCCCGTCCGTCACACATGATGGCTCAGAGCATCGCGTCTGGCGGCGTGTTCCGTCTGACTGCTGAGGTCCAAGAGTACTTACTCCCAAAGGTACGGATGAATGAATACCTTACGGATTCATACTTTTGGATGGATCGCCAATGGTCAAGCAAGGGTTAAAGGGGCTCTCTCACCTCACTCTTAAGCGAGACGGGACGGAACTGGACCCTGAATTGCGAATTGCTTCGCCTGCCGGGGTATGTGAGTTATTGCGATCGCCCTTCTTACCTCACTGCAAGCACAAATACGTACGGATGGGCGTGGCCACCAGCGTTCCAACCCCGCTGTCTCGCTTGTTGGTTCGTGAGGTACGTAGTGGTGTTGGTCTGGGGTCGGACATTTTGTTCATCAGGAGGGAGCACCTACGGATACGAATAGGGATCGAGTCGTCTTCTCCCTCCCTCGGATACCTTACCTCGACCTCGACTGTCCTAGATCTCTATCCGCAGGTACTTCGTAGGTGTAAAATGGCTTACTTCCCTTCCGCCTTGGAGAAATTCCTATGAGACTTACTGCGCTTCCAAGCGCACCCAAACGTTGTCTTTCGGCCCTTACAGAATTTCCCCCTCAATGAGGGTGGCGCGCATAGTATGTTGCGGGTGGCCTGTAGTTCTCTATTTGCACGACATAAGGTGTTATAGTGTAGTAGCTCCTATAAAAAAGCCTAGGGTAGCTCCTATAAAAAAGTATACTATTTAAACTTCTTTACTATTATATTAATTAGGCTAAAACTCTACTTTATATATTATTTACCTTATTATTATTATTATATAGCTATTACCCCCCCTATATTTTATTATAACCTTTAGAATAAATTAGTTATTTCCCCTTCTTCTTATTAAGCCTCTCTAATAATATTAAAAATAGTATTTTAATATAAAGTATAAATTAATATATAGAGGTAGCTAGCTAAATAGTATTTACTCTAATAGGTATTAACTAAGAGGGATTAATATATATTTAATAAAATTTTATAATTTAGCTAAATAATAATATTATTATAAATAGTAATCTTTTAGAGCTATATATTATAAAGGAAAAACTAAATTAATATACCCTTAAAATAATTAAGCCTTTAGTATATTATAATACCTTTATTCTTAAGAAAGTATTTAAAAGAGGTCTTATTTTATTTAGTAGTTACTTAAAAGTTATAAAAGCTATTTTTAAAGTTTTAATAAAATATTTAAATAGCTATTAATATAGTAATAAGTATTATTTTAAAGAAGTTAAAGAAGCTTAAAAAAGAGAGATAAAAAAGGAAGTTAATTAAGCTTTATTACTTAATAACTCTATTAAATAGAGTATAAAGACTTAAATAAATAAAGCTATTTATAACTACTTTTTAGGTAAACTATATACTTAAAGTTTAGATTTTAATAATTTACTCTTAAGTTAAATTAAGAAAGAACCTATTTATTTATAATATTAGAAATAGTACTAACTTTATTACTATATTAAGTTAGAATACTAGTTATATAGTATATAAATACGCTTTGCTTATGTACCTTAGAGGTGTTGTAGTGTGGTTCAGGGTGGTCGCACACAAGAAAGCTAAGAAGTATCTCATTGCAACGATTTGCAAACCAGCCCGGCCCATGACGTATGCGCCCTTCGCGCCCACTCCCCCAAGCCTGCCTCCTCCCCCGCGACGTAACCACAACCACTGCGGCGGATTTTCGCTACGACCTCAGCATCATTTACCATCCACCGAGTTTGGTTTTGCATCTTCAGCTTGCCTCTCCTGCGCCCCCCCTTGGTCCCCCATGCATGCCTCCCCCCAAACTGTCAACCTTGCGCTGAGGTCTGTCAAGATAGAATACGCTGGTCGGCAGGGTCTAACTCAACGCCTACATACATAGTATGTACTATGCAGCCTTTCAGTGACGGGTAGATGTGAAGCCGTGCTCTTCGAAGATCATATCACCCGACGTCCATGCTGGCTTCCGCTGACTTGCTTGTCGCCCTCCAAAACTACCCACGTACGTGTACTATGGTACATTCGTCCGCGTTACCCGACCAAGCCTGATCAGGGATACGGCAAATCAAATCCAAGCCACACTAAGGTAACTCGAGTCCTGATGAACGGGTGATCGTCATCACTTCCGGCCGAATGGCCCATAACCTCGGACACGTATCGTCATCTCTGCAACGTCGTTGGTTCGCTGCTTCGTTCCTTCGTCTTCCCACTTTCAGCTAGATTCTGATGATGGCAGCTGCTACACCAACTACCGTAGTAGACCAACGCATGGGAGGTTCATTGCTCTTCCGCCCTTCTCTCCGTGTCGCTGAGCCGACGATGCTTTTGAACCCCAGCCCCGTGCCTTGAGTCAGTCGACCGCAGCGTAGCTTCTTTCTCCCCACGGCCTTCCCGAGACTAGTTAGGTAGTAGATAAGCCCACCACCCACCCACCATCGTCGAGTCTAGATATTACATTTCATCGCTGTTTCCAGCTGCATAGGTAAAATATTCGCTCACGTCGTTTCTCCTCGTCGCTGAGTGAGCGCTTCGTGCGCTTGAGCCTGCCATCTGGTTGGATAAAGCAGGAGGATGCCACCGATGGCTCAGTCGGCATTCAATCATCACATGAGTAAAGGACACAACCGCAGAGACGACAAATTCACCAAGGTGATGGTCGCCTGCGAAAACCTCTGAGAATAGACATCGCCTCCAAATTGTCGTGCCCCTATCTTCCGGTCTGTGCATCTGTAAGGTTTACAGCTGCAGCTCCCAAGATGATATCAACATAGAAGTAGCGTTCATCCCATGTTTTGACCTCTTTCGAGAAGTCCAACCTTAATCAGCATCCCCCGACCAAAACTTTTCGGCGTGCGGCCGTTCCGATTATGGGGAAATTCGTGCGAATAGACTTTGGTCACATGAGCGACGCGCAATCTTCTTTGGCCAAAAGATAGAAATTCTTCATTCACCAGGATTCCGTGAACCAATCGGGCGTCTCTGGCCCCTACCTATGCGAAGATGGACGATGTCGCCTCTCGGAACCCAAACGCCCTGCTATGCCATGACTGAACGCTGTGCGCCAACGACCTGGTTCGAATCGCATTAGCAATTGCAATGCCTTCTGCTGCGCTTCCAGCCTAACTGGTGTCCTCCAAATCGAACAGACGCCGCGTCCCATCATCACATCATTCTGCCCGGCCGCCAGGACCATGCTAGTTTTCCTTGCCGCACAAATCAAGTCCCAGTGTCGGGGGCGTCATCTGCAGTTGTTGGTTCCACAGGCTTAAGTTTCGTCCTCCGGCGCGGTGGAGGTGCCTTGGGCGGTATCTTTTTGTGTCCGTTCAAGTGTAGTGTCGTCGTTTGTCCGACAGGAGTTCCATGTCGATGCTTCGGTACTTCAGGCAACGGCTTCTTTGGCCGTGCTGATCCTGTGCTCGCCTTCGGTTCTTCTCCCTTGCCTTCCGCGTTGGCCTCGGCTTTTCGACTTGGCGTGATAACGCCAGGCTTCTCCATGACTGCTGCCACGTCGACAACACTAATGCTGCTGGCCGTGTCCGACCGCGACAATGTCATGCCTAAAAACTTTCGAGCCACCTCCACCTCGCCGGAGCCTTCTTGGTCGGCCAGCCACTGGACTTTGGACACACGCTCCACAAGCCTTACGGTTGTCTCGTCGGCGGGCGCAAAATGGGAATTGCCTAGTCCGCCGAGTATCCTCAACACCTTGTTGACTTCGTCGCGCTTGTAGTGAGGTGGATGGCTGAGCTGTGTATGTGCCAAGAGTGGATACAACACGCGTAGATAGGTATGCCGCAGCGATATCTTCTCGTCCGGGAGGTCCATCAGGTTTCTGATGATGACGTCAAGTAGCACCTTCAAGTCATTCGTGTAGAAGTATTCGTAAGTGGCTTTGGTCGTAAACAGGAGATATAGAAGCTTGAGGATGAGGAGCTGTAGGGAGGTCTCGGTCTCACGGTTCAGCAGGAGAATAATGTTCTCTCCGAACGTGCGAAACAGCGAACCGTGTAGACTGAGGCATTTGATGACTCTGTTCGTGAGCGGTACGGAGGGAGTCGTCGGATCGGTAGCGACGTCGGTGGAAGCTAACATGTACTGTTCGTTCAGAATCAACTATCGCAAGGTCAGCCAGTGATCTACGCAAGTCTCGGACCTGGGTGGGGGGTAGAAGAGAGTAGCATACCAATACTCGAATGATGGGATAATGATATGGGTCGTGAGCATCATTAGAAAGCTCTTCGATCATCTGAAAGAGGTATGCGATAAAACCGTCATCGACCTGCATTAAGTCGGCGGTGCGGAGGCGCTCGATGCGAGACATCTCGTACATAAGATCCAGCAGCAGACGATGCAGCCTGGGATCCTGATCTTTGCGGCCGTTGATCAGTTCGAGAAGTCGGGGAAAGCAGGCCTCCTCGATCATGCGGGAGAAGGCAGTCTCGTCGGCTTGGCCATCTAGCAGGAGAAAAAGGGCGATGACATGCAGCGATGCCGGGTCATCTTCCTGGAGTAGGCTGTAGACGATCTGAGTGCGAATATAGTCTTTATTTTCTCGGAACAGCTGGCTGGAGACCAGCTTCTCGCAGCATGCGGCGACGTCGTCCTCGGAATCGCAAAACTTATCCCTGAATCTCGAAGCAAGATGTAACCAGGCCCTGAGCGTCTCGTCAATCAGATCATGCGACTGGTACTGGGTGGTAACGACATCGTCAAGTTCTATTGCGTCGAGACAAACATCAGTCACAGATTCCAACGAGACGGGCCAAAAGGAAGAACAGATGGGATAGTAGGTAGTGCGGGAGGATGGTGAGGAGGGCAACGCCACCGATGCAAAGCTACTGACCTTCCCAGAATTGTTGGCGAGTCTCGAGAGACTCGTAGACATCAAAGTCGGCCATGATGCTAGAATCGCCAAAGATTGGTGCCCAGCACGTTCGGCATCACTGGCGCGGGGCGTGTCGAAATGCGGCAGCGAAATATTTCGTGGGATGAAGATGAGGCCGGCTGGAGTTTCGACTCTGGAAGGTTGATACACGCATGGCATGGTCAGGCTTGATAACAAGCCCCTCTCCACAGCACGAGGGCACCCGGTCGGGGCACGCTCTGTTGGCACTCGTGGTCGACGTCGGTAGGGACCTTGGCGCCGTGGAGTTGGGGAGAGAGATTGGAGGGGAAGTGAACCTGAACAGTGAAGGACGGGGAGCAGGGCAGCAGAGTGAGGGGTTGACGTTATGGTGGGGGAAAACCAGGGAGGACCTGAGGAAAAAGCACCATGTGTCACTGGACTGGCGGCTTACCGCAGTGCAGCTGGCAACCTTTGCGCGGAGGTCCAATGTGCCTAGGCACCTTACCCGGACGCATCACAGCACATGGGACCCGGACGCCGACTTCACATCACGCCGGATGCGCCCCACTCTGCCACTCCTCGAGGGTAGGAATGGAGACAGCATCACCTTACCTTCCCGTCCTAAGGTACCTTCCATTAAGAGATCATATGAACCTTAAAGTACCTTTAGGTAGGTATCGCACCGGGTTTTGCAGGCTACCTACCTGAGTAGGTACCTACCTACCTACCTACCTACCTACCTAGTGACGGGAGTTCCAACGACAGGACCTGAGCTCCCCGGGCCGTCACCGGACCGTAAAGGAATCATAGGTACAGGTAGTGGCCCCTGCAGCCGGCTAGTGAGCCCAGCAGATTCAATCGGTGATATCCAGCAAATAGGCGGGTACCACTCATCTCGCGTCCTCGACTTTCATGCAACGCCTGAGATTAAAGTCTTGCTGCTGATGCTGTGAGCTCTCTATGTGTATGTATGTTATGATACATGTGTTTCGTATAACATGAATGTCCGAACAAGAGGGTATTTATCATGTCGTAACCGCCGCCAAGTCTCCTTATACCCCCTCTTCAGCTATTCGCCGTGAACGCCTCTATCCGAAACTACATGAGCATGTATGATTACCGACCAATCCTGATCTATATTGTCATCTAGACCATCCTGCCAACCCTTCCTTCAACCAAGCCCTAGGCATCGTCATAAACCTTGACTTTATCCGCGTACTCTTGGATGTTGCTGACAACATAATCCGAGATGGTGTTTCCCTTGCCAGCCGCAATTCTCAAGATCAATTCGTTGAGATGCTGCCTACCGAGGATATCAACATGGTCTGCCGTCTTGGGGCCGCCTCTTGGGTTGAATCGCTCGGGCTCGTGCTCCATTTCGACGACAGTGACCTTGGAACCCGCCGGGTTATATCTCTTGTAGTTCCATCCACGGTTACACATGTAACCCGTGCTTAACAAGTTTACCGTGCCGTCACCCTCTCCCATGACAACGCCATGGTCCACCTCTCCCTGCGTGTAAGCCGTATCGATGGTGATGTTCAGGTTCGTGAGGGCTGGCATCTCAGGAGATCGGTAGTAGTAGCCTCGCTCGGTGGGCTTGCCGACGCCGTAGAAGCAATAGATCTTCATGCTCGGCGCCAGAGGAAGTCGAGTTTCCAGAGGATTGATCCACTTCCGCGGGTCCTTCTCATTGGCCTCGACCTCTTCCTCAGTATGTGCTACTCCATGGGAGTAACTGTTCTTGATGTGCCGTTGGTACCACTCTTCTGTCGTGTTGAACAAGTACTCCATGGCTGACTCGACTGTAAGGTTCCGGTCTGGAGTTGTCCAGTTCATGCCGCTGCGGAAGTTCAGAAGAGACCCGAACGAAAGGTCCTGCCCCGGTTGATCGTCAGGAGCCCAGGTGGAATTGCCCCAGACAGCGTCTCCTCCTATGGGAAGCATGGAAGAGATGCCGGGCATCGCACGGAACAGCTGAGCCCGCTCGTCCTTGCTCAAGAACTTCTCGAGTCCATATACTGCAAATGCATTAAGTTGCGCCGTATCCCGCATTTCGCCCGACAGCACCGCCGTAAGGTCCTTGACGGCGCCAAGCATGCAGCCGCTAACATTGATCCATGCCTCGACGTGCTGCTCGACCCAGTCATCGCCGCCGCGACCACCACTCTCGGACGCCACCCAGTGGAAGAAGTAAAAGAGAACCTGTCCACCCATGCTGTGAGATACGAGCACCGTCTTCTTACCCGAGAACTCGTGTGCCGTTTCGATGTAGGACTTGAGCCTCGTGAAGTATTGGTCGCGGGTCTCGAGGTTCGGATAGGCCAGCCGCCAATCGTAAGCGGCAGTGAAGGAGTTGGTCGGGTCATAGCCTATGGAAGCCAAATTCTCAAAGATTTTGTTCCAGATCCAGTACCCGGTAATGAAGAAGTCGGTGGCGTCGAAGCCTTGAGCAGCGCGCAGCTTGATGTGCGGGGGATCAAGGCCTGTTTCTTGGTCCAGCATAATGTGCCTCTTCCAGTTCTCCTTGTCCAAGACCAAAGCCCTCATCATACTCCAACTGCCCCACAGACGCTTGCGGAAGTAGGGACGGGAGACGTTGGTGGTGCCCCAAGACTCGAGACCTGTTGATATGACGCCAGGCACCATGATCATGGGATGATGTGCATTGAGACCTTCGGCGCGTGCTTGTAAACCTACTGAGAAGGCGTCGTAGCTATCGACGAACTCACGCTCGCCTTGCTTTACGAGTAGCCGTGTTAGTTCAACCCAGCTAGGCGCCAAGTCCCCCTCGTGCCCAAGAAACGAGGTGTTACTGACCACTAGATCGCGCATATCCTTGACCAACCCAGCGGGCAGCACATCAAATAAACTGTCCATGCTGAGCTCACCGAGCTCGGGAAAGTCGATGAGGTCATTGCTTTTGGCGAAGAAGCCGGCAGCTATGATACCAAACAAGCTTCCCAGCAGAAAAATGGCGGTATTGCGGCGCTTTCTTGTCTTGGGCTTCAGGTGTTGTACAACCTGGACATGCTGTTCGGACTTTTCGGGGCTTTCATCCCGTGGGGTTGAGGATTCGCTTTCTGTTTGTGGATCGGCGGGTAGGGCGCGCCTCCTGAGGGTCGACGAAGACATGGTCACGATCGCAGCCGGTTGCGACCGGCCGTACTGTTCTGTGGTCTCGAGGTTAGTTGAGGCTGCTGAGCTGTGTTGCGAGGATGGGCGTGGGAGGAACGGATAGGTAACAACCTGCCTTTGAGCAAGGTCGAATGGAAGGGCTACGAGGAGCTTGGGAGGGCGTAGCGGACGTGGGAGTGGCTCGATACTTATCGGGCGCAGCGGATGTTCAAGCCTACCTTAGGTAGCGGCAGGCAAGGGATAATGGAACGACGCGGCGACCGGGATAAATGCGGAAAGCTTATTTTGCTGTGCTTCATTGATCGGACAGGTCGAGTGTGAGGAATGGCGGCAGTTCCTAAAGTAGTCCTGACGCTAAGGTACGTCTTGAAGGTGTGCAGGGGGGGTTGAAAGCACGCTTGAGTGCAGGGCGTCCAATCGTCGACACTTTGTGAACATCAAGAAGAGTGGCTGACTGCCCGAGCCAGACAGACGGGAGCCCAGCTTCGTTGCGCTCCGGCGGGAGCGGCCACCGGGGAGCTGTTTTCTCACCGATGCTCAGCGTGACGTCAATTTCAGCCAGGATGGCCCATGCGCTTTCATAACACAAGAACATGCATTAGTAGTATTGCATAAAATGAGGCACTTTTAGCTAGGTAACTTACCTAAGGCTCAGAGGAACTCCATACGACCAGCCAGAAATTCAGGCTCCAGAACTAAGGTACCTTACCTTACCTTAGACTACCTACCTACGCAGGCTCTAGTCTAGGTACGAATAGGAAAGGTAGGTAAGGTCAGGTATGGGACATGTTGGCAGTTGGACAGAACCTACCAAAAACGGTGAAAAGGTGAAGCACCCCTGGATCATCGACGCAGGCATTATGCATTATGCTCCGTGAAAGAAAACCTTGGACGAACCGAACCGCCACGCGTAGACAAGACCATTGTTTGTTTTTTGTTCATTTTTCTATCACATATTCATACCGTATGCACTGATACTTTACCCCAACGACAAGATTTGAATTCGACCTCATGACCGCCTTTCCAGCTGGCACTCTTGAATCATGTAGCAACCAGACACAACCACACAGAAGTCGTAGTTGAAGAGAGCAACGTCACGTAGCAGTTCGGTGACATGCTTCCTCTTTGGTCATCCAACCCGACCAAGAACGAGGGTCCCCCGCCGCAAGACGTTGCTGTCCGTACACCGAAGAGTCTACCGGTATTCAAGAACCGCGTACGCTACGCTACCTACCTAGATGCGCTCCCGCCCGTTTAACATGTGATAGCGGCTCCGATACCTCTGCACAGCTGGGCACACCTGACAGAAATGTGTCAAGACGCTGCCGTGAATGGGTGCCAGAAAGTGTCACCCGCAGGGTGCAGTGCTACAACGAACCGCCGATTGCGCGCGACATCACGCGCAACTGGACCGCCGTTCCAGGTAGGTACCTACACTATAGGTTCCATTGAATACTAAGGTGGAGCTGCAGCTGGTGGACCTCCGGCTCCGATTTGGCTGGGACAGCAAACTGCATTGCTTTACCTTAAGCTGACAAGGCGCCGCCAGCAAATCAACCTGGCCTGCGTATCCGTCCCGTACAGCCAACCTGACTGCCTTTACTTCAACTCCGAGAAATCAACTCAAGACAACGTCTCACTCTATCGCCGCGCGCCTTACCAGTCATCCTGCAAACGCACAACTCGCAACCGTCAGACTCGTCCCCTTTTCTTTCCGCCTTTGCGGCTTTGCCGCTCCTCTTCCATCTCGACTGTATTTCTCTCGTCCTTCTCGAGTTCTCTCACCGATCCTGCCTCTCGTCGCATTCTTGTTTCAGTCTGTGCTTCGTCGCATTGTCATGAGTTGAGCATCTTGCGCGCATCCGCCGGTCCAGGCTCAAGCCTTGTGTACATCTTCGTTTTTCTCCCCTTGCTTTCCGGGTCCAAATCTCCCCTCTCAGAAGTCGCCAACGGACATCATGGACGTATCCAAAGTTGTCGGCCTCCCCGAGGATTTACGGTACATTCAATACGAGCATGGCCTGGAATCGACCTATCTACCCGCCATACGCTCTCTGATCGCGAAGGACTTGAGCGAGCCTTATAGCATTTATGTCTATCGGTATTTCCTCTATCAATGGGGCCACCTGTGCTTCATGGTGCGCATCTTCTTTTCCTTCTCTCGGTGATGATGCTGACTCTCCCCCCAGGCATTGGATCCTACCGATTCGTCCCTCATTGGCGTCATCGTTTGCAAACTAGAACTTCACTCGTCTCACTCACCCCCGACGCGCCGCGGCTATATTGCCATGCTCGCCGTCGCTTCTCCTTACCGCGGGAAAGGCATCGCGACCGCCCTCGTGAAACGCGCCATAGAGGCCATGGCCCAGCGCAACGCCGACGAGGTTGTTCTGGAGACGGAGGAAACCAACACCCAAGCCATGCGCTTGTATGAGCGTCTGGGTTTCTTGCGGTCCAAGAAGCTGCACAGATACTATCTCAACGGCAACAGCGCTTACCGACTGGTGCTGCTTCTAAAGTCCATCGATCCAGACGCCATCATTGATGATTTTGATGGCCAGTCGCCATGACTTGGAGGGGGGTTGTATGATGATGTGCGGTCCGAGTCAAAACGACTGCTGGACTTGTTTTGTGGCATTAGCTAGTACCTCGGACCCTTATAACGGCTCGCGTATACGTCAGAGGTAGACACGGGTCTCATTTTCTCTTTTTTCTTTTGCACGGAACATTCGTCTCGTTGGTTACATGGCTGCAGCATGGAACGGCATCGGGTGACGGACTCAACACTGGACCATGTGAGTGTATTGGGATTCAGCATAGCAGGTGGCAAAGCGGTTTTTAGGGAAAAAGAGCACGCAAGATTTTCAAGGGATGTTGGCAACCGCATGCTGCATGGCAGAGGATTCATTGCAGCCAACCTTTTTCAGCAAAAGGTATCATTTTATAGTCTACTGCCATGTGACGGTATAGAGGAAACGAAATGATGGACTTTCCAGTCATGAATGCGGACATCAAAACCATAATGAAACATCCCCTTCAGAATAAGGCCGTCCTCCCACGAGACCGCCTCGTCTCCCTCGCGTGCCACGTCTTGATCTTACCCCAAAGGTTTGCTATTCCCAATGCACGGGTTTCTCAAAAAGTCCAGTCGTTGCGTTCGTTATCGTGTACTGGTGTTGGGGGCAGCAATGGCTTGGGCAAGACGTCTAGCGAGCTGTAGATTGAGGCTTTGATGTCCCAGTGGTTGCCATGAGCAATACCGATGTATGTGAAGGCATCTGAGCAAAATCAGTATCCAGTAATACTTGATTGGCGATAGAGACGGACCTGGCTTGTAGTATATGGGGCGCCCCGTGGACTCAACCACTTTCAACTCCCGAAGACGACGAAGAACTCTCGTGACGTCTGCCATGTCACTAAAATCAGCCGTGTAGACGGCAATGATACGGTCCTTTTTCCCGGTCGCATCCTGTCGCGGCGCTACCTTGGCCGCAATGCCAAGCTCATTGTTCGCTGTGGCTCTGGCAATGATCCGCCATACTTCGTTTACTTCCCTAGGAGGACAGAATATCATCCACTGCCCAAGCACGTCAGTCATAGTGCAAACCTGGGTAGTAATATATTGGTTATTTACCTTGCCAGCCTTGACTTTGCACGCATGGGCAAGAGCCAGAATATCCTGGACAGCTTGCTTCTTCTCATCGTTGATGTCAGCTCTCCTTGCCGCCTTGGACGTTGGTGTCCTTTGGATGTCGTTCGTAAAGTGGCGCAGGATATTCAGCCTCTCGGTGCCTCCTTCGATTAAGGTATCAAGCTGTGAGCCTTCCTCCTCGGGAGCCTCATCCTCGTTGCCTTTGCTGAACTGATTTTGGGCTGAGAGCCTGTCCTTTCGGGGAATATAGGGGTTACAGATGAAGATCCAGGGGATCTCCTCGCTCCCCTCGGTCGTCTCAGGGGGCAGACGGTCGAGGAAAGCGTCCACAGTCTCGGTCAATTGCCAGGCATAGGGCACGCCGGCGTACGGATTGTGCAACCTTTTACTGTCAACCGGCTCCGTCTTCACCCTTCGATTGAGGTGGACTGCGTTGGTTTCCTCCCACCACTGGGCAACGTTGAATGAATTGACCCTGGCCTCGAGCCCGGCCACCGTCTCCTCATCACCTAATGCCACCGTCAGCGATGCCAGACGTAGGCTAGTTATCATCACAAACCGTAAAAGTCCGATTCATCCGAGTCCATGGTCGTGGAGTTCAACGCGCAGAGTAATCTGGGTACGCGGTGTAAGGACAGTGGGTTTGGTTGGCAGGGATAAGGAGGGCCAAAAGCTAAGGTGCCTCAAGTTGAGACAGAAAGAGCAACGTCGTCACTGTTGTGCAGCGAGGAGAATTAAAAGGCCTGCGAAGGAAGGAACTGCCTCGCTCAATACTACACTTCGAGTGGCCGCCTTATGAGCCGCCGCAACCATCACTGTACCTACGCCTCAGACGCAGGTAGCTGAGAAAAGTTGGAGATAAGGTAGAACGAGAGGAATGAGGCGTAACATTGAAGGTTAATAAGGTAGGTAGGCCCCGTAGTCAAGATTCCCCAGGAAGGGAGGCTAGCCAGAAACCCGCCATTTTTAAATTGATTCCAGGAGGAACCGATCCGACTTCGCGGCGCCAATTCCGGAAAGCAATTTGTGGGCGACATGCGGGATCCTTCCGAGTTCCCCGGAACGCAACCCCCGGCGCGCGGCCGATCCAACCCCGGAAACTCTCAATTAAGACTGATATCTGGCCACCACTTATTGACCGCTGGCTTTGCTTATTGCTCTGTCTTTTCTGCCGAGTCGCGCGCAACTTGACGCAGTTCTAAGTAGACCTCTCATCCCCGCCGAATCTACCTCGGCTGGCGGTTCGCTATTTCTTCTTTCGTTTTCGGCGGCAGCAAAAGACGGGCGATTCGGAGGGAAAAAATTTCTCGACTAAGAAAAATGGGCGGACCAGACAACACCATCACATCGAGGCAGTCTCTCACCTTGGACCTCCCTCCAAGCTGCATAGAGTTCTGCCTCTCACATCCGGCATATTTCGTTGTCGGTACTTACAACCTTGTCAAAGACGAGCCGCGTGATACGGAGTCGGAAGACACAAACGTGTCAACCACGAAAAAGCCTCAGAATCGCAATGGCAGTCTGATTGTCTTTCAACTAGAGAAGGGAGCCATGTGAGTCAGAAGAGTCTGGACGGTGGCCATCGTTGTCTAATCAATCTCAGACGTCATGTCCAAACCATCTCCCATCCCTCAGCGATCTTGGATCTTCACTTCTGCCCTGTGTCAAGCAGACAAGATGTCCTGGCTGTGGTTTCCAGCACTGGAACGCTATCTGTCTTCAAGCTGGATCCGACTACGGATTCAGAGAAGCCTCTGAAGCATTTGGCGACGAGTCGAATTCCCGAAACTCCTGAAGGTGCGCTTTTCCTTTCAGGTGTCTGGAGCCCGAGCGACCCCGCTTCGCTTGCCATCACGACTTCGACGGGCGAGGTGCGTGTCGTGCAGCTTGATGAGTCGTGGAAGATTGTCGATGATGGCGCGGAAGCTATCATCACGCATTCTCTGGAGGCCTGGACAGTGGCCTTTTCCCCTCACGAAGAGGACAAGGGCCAGGCAGACAGTACTTCCTCCTTCGTCGTCTACTCGGGCGGAGACGACTCTGCTCTGCGCTACGCATCCTGCACGAAGGACAAGGCTGGGAACCATGAAACAATCTCAACTGTGACCACACAGTATCCCCCTCTGAACATCAGGGACCACGGTGCCGGAGTGACTGCCATTTTACCAGTCCCGATCAGACTAGCAGACGGCTCGATGATTGTGGTAACGGGAAGCTACGACGACACGATACGGGTTCTCTCCGTCCAGCATCCGCACGAGACGTACGGCATTCGCAAGTTTAAGAGGCTAGCGGACGAGAACCTGGGTGGTGGAGTGTGGAGGCTCAAGTTAATCGACCTTCAAGAGGAGGATGGCCAGTGCCGCTTAAGAGTCCTGGCATCATGCATGCACGCAGGCGCAAGAGTCGTCGAGCTCAAGGGACCAATTGAAGGCGGCGAGTGGGAAATCAACGTTCTGGGCCGGTTCGAAGAACATCAGAGCATGAACTACGGCAGCGATTTGGTGCCGGGCCCTGCAGAGGGTCACCTGGTGTGTGTGTCGACAAGTTTTTACGACCAGCTGTTGTGTTTATGGGAAACTCCGCTATCATGAGATACTGCTATGATGAGATATAGTACCGTGTAGTTGGTTAGTTGTTTTGTTAGTCCTCGTAGTAATAACAACATGAGGCTTGGAAGTTTGCAGGGGCGGTTGCAGATGCGCTATCTGTTGATATAAATACTCCAACCACACCCAAAAAATCCAGTATGGAAGTACCTTACTGTGGCGTTGGATCTACTTCTACCTTGCCTCTCTACCTCCCTTACTTTGCACCTGGGCATTTCAAGTTGATATGACCGCAGGTATTCTGGGTAACTAAGGCCTACCTAGATAGTCCAGTTCATTCAAGGAAAAAGACCTCATCATAGAAAATATAGAGCTGTGGTTTTTGAGAAACCCGACCTCCTGCGCGGTGTGGGGAGGCATAGACACTGGTTTCACCCGACTCCAACACTGTTTCCTCATTGAGGTAGACAGACACTGGACCTACCTAGGTAGGTAGCTACCCAAGGTAGGTAGGTAGGTAGGTAGGTAATTAATTACCTAAGGTACCCGTGGACCTGTGAGGCAGGTAACCTGCAAGGTACTAGGGCACCCAAGGCTGCCTGCCTTATCAGCTACCTACCAGGTCCAGTGGCTACAGGCATCCATGGATCCAGGCGGTCCCGCCCCGGTACACGGTTCGCAATGGTGCCCCGGCCCGACAACGCGACTAATAATTATTCCATTCGCTTTGCTGCCCATCTACCTTTTGATGATGCAAATCATGCTTGCCGTTGGAACTGTTGCTGCTTCTTCTCCGGCCGCCGCTCTCGCCAATATTGCTCTTGCATCTGTGAACTTGCACGGTTGCCTACGCTGACTTCCCTGGTCAACTTAATTATCGCTCTTTTTGTTTCTCCCGTCTGTTCATTTACTCACCACATTCGCTGCGAGACACATATTTCTCTGCTCGTGTCGCCAACACCAACGGGAGAAACGGTCGAGCAGGAGCCGGCCAAGCGCATCAGCTCGTTAGAACAAACCTTTTCAAGCACTACACAAAGTAGCTTTAGCTACACGGTGAGGCCTCTTACCTTCCATCTGCGCCTCATCTATGCCGCCCGCCCCTCCTTACGTCGTATTTCAGCCTTCACTAACCCTCAGACTCTTGGGCAGCACTCTCACCGAATCCCGCATCTCCATCGCGCCCATCCGCCATACAGCCCCCCTTCTGCCTCGTCGCCCTCGCCTACCGAGTCCGGTCCGAACGACGTCGACGTATGAACTGCCATTGAGTCTCCTGCTGGAGAAGCAGCTTCCACTGGTGGCTTTTCTGCCGTACCCCCATCGACCTCAGCTGCCATGGACGGACCGGCCGCCAATGGCGCTGCCAACGCCGCCTCCGTGAACGGCGGAAATTCCGACATAATCTCCCAGATTCACCAGGCCCTCGAGGCTATACACAACCCCTACTCGTCCAATACGTCCCGCCGAGACGCCCAAACCTTCCTAGAGAACATCAAGGGCATTGACGAAGCTCCGTTCCACGGCTTCAACCTGTCGTCGAATAAGTCCCAGTTGCCCGTCGTGCGCCACTATGCCCTCTCTCTCCTCGAGCATGCCATCAAACAGAAATGGGCCGAGTACAACCAAGAGCAGTCTGCAACCCTGCGCGGCTGGGTAATGGATCTATGCCGCAACTTGTCCAAGGACGATCCGCTGTACATCAGAAACAAGACGGCCCAACTTTGGGTTGAGGTTGCAAAGAGATGCTGGGGTGCTGAGTGGATGGATATGGACGAGTCCTTGTTCCGCCTCTGGCAGACACCCGATTCCGCCGTGCACAAGGAGCTCGTACTCTTCGTCCTCGAAACCCTCTCCGACGAAGTTTTCAATGGCGACGATGCCGTTGTGGCTATGCGTGAAGGCGTGCTCAGCAGGAGTTGTGTTGAGATTTTCACGCCTGCCACGGTTCTCGTGGAGGCGTTCCCCAACAGAACGGCCGGTCCCGAAGTGCGATATGGGGAGGAAGGATGGTTGACCCGGGTCGCCGAATTCCTCACCCAGTGCCTCCAAGGGGACGCTCAAAACAACGGTCAGATTCGCTCCTGCGCCGTCAAGTCCCTGTCTGTATTTCACTCTCTCATGCCTTGGGCTATTCCGAAGGCTGTTGCCGTTGCCAATTGTGTTCCCGTCATGTGCAGGGCGCTGGCGACCCCTGAGGTGTCTATCCAGAAGGTACGTGGGTCCCTTATCATTGTACGCTGTCCAAATAGTGAGTGTAGAGACTGACGCGACCTAGGCGTCCCTAGAAGCTCTGCATGCTCTCTATTCTCGTTCGAACTTCACCGAGCAGGAATTCAAGGATCTCGTTGCGCCAATGTATGATGCAAGCTCGGTTGACCTGCTGAAGAGACTGTTGGAGTGGTCCGCCGTAGATGTGGACGATATCGATGAGGACAAGTATCAGTTCGGCAAGAAGTTTTCTGAGGTAAAGACTGCTTGTACACTGGTTCCGCTATGTCGGCTAACAACGTACAGATGCTGTCCCTTCTTGGTAACTACCTTGACCGCAGATTCTCTGCCATACCCACGAACGCAGATGTCAACGGGTTCCTCAACTTGCTGCTTCTCACTGTGCAGAGCCAGAGCCTCATCATCGCGATCCCCGTATTGGCTACCTGGACACGTTTGCTCAATAATAGGTTGGTTGGGCAGAGTCCGGCCAATACTCACCTAGTCGGGCCTCTCCTCGAAGTGTGTGGTTCTCGCTTGATTCGCTATGAGAATTTGCCAGAAGATACCCAGGATCCAACGTTCACTTTCCTTATGGAGGATACTGACACTATCCCTGAGCGTCATGCTTTCCTTGGCAACTACCGAAGGTTCAGTACACAGGTCATTGAAACCATTGTGCAGTTGAAGCTGTCGGATGCTGTGTACCATATTCTTGGCCAGGCCGAGCAAGTCTTGCAGCATCTGTATGATGGCCACCCTCCGATGGATGGTGAGTTCGCACACTTGCACCGTATAGCCGAAGAAAGCGAGGCTAAATCCATCAGTTACGAAATACGTCAAACACTCCATGCCCGTCTTGCGTGTTGACGCACAGTTCACCGTCATCGAAGCTGCGCTTAAGGGCTACATGAAATGGAGAGGTAGCTCAACGCAACAGAGCTTGCCCGACTACGTTAGTAATCATCCACAAATTGCTTCAAGCCCACACTCACACTAAGCCAGGAACAACAACGTGCCGCCTTGGAGAGAGACCTCGAGACCTGGTGCAGCAAACTCCTTGAGATGAAGTTCGAGGATCCATTGATCCGCAAGAGAGTGCTTCAACTGTTGGTTGCATTCTCTACCACAGCACTTGACAAGAATCCCGGCTTCATGCTCAAGGTACTTGAGCACATTTTGATGACCTGGCCGGCCCCTCAACCAGAGCACCGGGCCTACAATGAAGCTATCAAAGACTTCCAGTCCGAGAGCATGGTCGAGTTGCAAAGACTGGCCTCGAAGGTGCCCGACCACTTACTCGCTGTTTACGACCAGATCGAGGCAAAAGTCAACGACATGATCTCTTCGGGAACTCTGGATGAGAAGCGCCAAATTGCGTACCAGAGCTTTCTGTTCATTATCATCCACCGAGCCGCCAATATCGACCCTGCCAAGCAACTCGAGCGTCTTCGGGATTTCATCAAGCCTGTTACGTCCCTCTGGCAGAATCAGGAACTAAAAAGCGCATTGTCCTCGTACACCGGCTTTTGCGAAATGATGGCATTGGACAAGGCCAAGCGTTACCTACTGAACCACCGAGTGCATGAGATCAAGGACTGGGGCTCCCGCGAGCTCGATTCCGAAGGCCTAGCTCTACAAAATGAGCTAGAGCAGCGACAGAAGGTGAGTGTGAACGCACGCGTTTGAGGTTCAAATTCCTGACATCGCTGCAGATGCTACCGCTGCGCCCGACCAAGTCATTCCTGTCATTTTCCGTGGAGAAGCTCGAGAAGTCATCAACGCCCTTCCAAATCTCGTATCGCTTATGGAACGATAGCTTCCCTGTCATCCTACCTGACCTGTTGCAGTTCCTCAGGTGAGCACTTGAACCACGCCCATTAAAGTTTTGATGTTGATCCAAGTTACAGTCACGCCCATGCCTCTCACAACCCAGACAACTGGACAGAACTGCCCGTAGAAATGCGTTCAGTCGTTGGTAGCGTGTTGAGTGACCGCTTCTGGCAGGCAGGCATCTCCGAGGGCAGCAAAGATGACTTCTACGCCCGCGTAATGGATAAGAAGAACACTCTCGAAGGCCTGGCTTCAACGATCCGCGGCACCGTTAGATTTGTTCGAGAAACATGCTACGCCATCATATACTGCATGAGCCGGCTAGAGATGCAGTTCTATGGCTTCAGCGAACTCCCCAACCCCCTTGCGCAAGCTCTGTTCCAGAATTCTTTCTATCTATCAGCGCACCAACAGATCAACCTGCTCAACCTCGTGCGGTATCTTGTGGATGATTGTCCCCTCGAACAACGCGAGCACTTCCTTCCTCCACTTTTGGCCGCATGCTTCCAGCAAATGGATACCAAAATCAACTCGGAGTGGGAAAAGTTGGAGCGGCAGCAGGCTATCGAGGCTGCGGGTGATGCCCTCACCGAGGAAATGAAATCTGAAAGTATATTGCGTCAGGTTACCTTCACTGCTGTGATTATGGTGGCGGACTTCCTGGATCCCACGAAGAAAAGTAAGTTGTTTCTTTTCTAAACCCCTGGTAGTTTCTTTTGGCATCCTGGCCTATTTCGATGCCCGGTTCACACCTGCTCCTCTCTACCCCGCTTCACTTTTCATAGATGCCTCGGCATTGCAAAGTTGCGGCTAGCACTGCCTTGATTCTCAATCTCCAATCGTCAAATTAGTGTCAACAGAACGTCTTGTTCGACTAACATAGGATGTAGATCCTGCGCCACTGAGATCTCAAAATGGCCACGAGCAGCCTCGCAGATACCCGTCACTTCGGAAGTTTTGCTTGATGCAGTCCGCCATTGTAGAGCCGTTACTCCTCTTTTGCACTCACGCCATCCGGATGAGGGACACGCGGTGCTGCAGCATTATCTTGCGAGTTTTCCGATCTATCGTTCCAGAATTCCACTCTGCGGAAGCCGTCTCGCCCAAGTCTGTACTCGCGCACGACGGCCATGATCAGACCGTTTCCGGCAGGGATCCCTACCTTGACACAACGCCAATCGCCCCCGAGGCAGCTTCTGCGATTCGGGAATACATAGCCTCGGATGTGCTCCGCGCTTGTATCAGCTCATTCAACGAGCCCTACTTTGTAGACCTACAGAAGGATCTGGCCTCCTCGATAGCCTCCATTTTGGTCCACTATAGCCCTTTGACGAACACGCCAAGAGACATACTATTGTCCTTGCCCAACATCAGAGTAGCCGACCTTGACAAGTTGAACGATTTTGTGTCTAAGCCGAGCGCTCACACTCGCCAACAGCGAGCGCTAGTGCTCGATCTTCTCAAAGATCTCAAAGGAGTCAGCATCGCTGAGCAGTTCAAGCTACCCAAGAACAGCAGCTTCGGACGGCCCAAGAAGTCGAGCCGCAGCAAGATGGCACAAGAGTTCATGACGCCCGCTAGCGAGTCGACAACACGAAGCGGGGCGGCTTCAGGGGCCAGGCGAGGCACGCCTGACGGCCTGGAGGGAGTGGCCAACCTGTTTGAGGGCTAGGAGAATCCCCAACATCACACTCGCCATGATCGCTGCATACAAGCTGGTACAGTTGCTACTATTTCCGTTGAGTCTGCAAACTCGAGCGTGCGCCCTTGGGCTTATGCTCGTTCCTAAGCGGCGTCGCGTTGGTTTAGTGGCCAGGAGGAGGATGGATGAGACGGTGGAGTCGATGTTGCTGTGTATAGACATTTCGCGGGGTGATTGGGCAAGGACTGAGATCTCGGCTCGGGTTCGGGAAAGGGGGCAAGGAAGAAGAAGAAAAAAGATACCATTATGTTTCGGCAAGCGATACGGGCTGGTTTGGTGCGCCCTACTCAGAGGTTTGTATTTAAGTGTTCAGAAAGACCAAAGAGCACATACCTCAGGCCTTACCTGCTCAACCGGCGCAAGAGGGCATATCGAACGCTAGCCCGCGATGATGTGAAGCAGATGTCGTTGCCAGCCTTCCGCGCCGTTGTAGAGCAGCTGTCCAGAACGGTCATTTCATCGCAAAAAGTCCTGACGCTATGTACCAGTTTCCGAACCAGAATACTGCGAATACGGAATATGAGGAACATGCGGTCCATCTAAAGCAGTTGACGGGGCTCATGCAAGTACAGAACCGCAAGCATTTCCAGACTGAGATAGCTTCATCCGGGGTCCCGGCACACCAGCCGGCATAAATGGAGAAGATCTGACTGGGCCAGCTGTAGGGAAACGGGGACCCCCATGCTCACACAGGCGATCCGTACCTTCGGGCGATGGATCACCAAGGAGAAAGCCAGATGGATGGAGGACGAGACGCGGGAGGGCATCCCATCATCCATAAGCCGCAGCCCGGTAAGGGGCTGCACGGGAACAAAACCAGACAGAGAAGTGATTGTCAACCTCGGCGATCGCATCGCACCGCATCGCATCGCATCACCGCGCGCATTCGCCTCTCCAACCCCTGCCCCGGCCAGATCTGCGCCTTACCTGAACCGCCGCGATGTTGTGACTGCAGGCCTGCGGAGTTCAGCGTGCTTCAGGAACTACAAGCCGTTCTGTTCTATCCACATCAAGTAACAGTTGCACCAACGCGTAGTGAGTCAATAGCACGATGAACAAAATCATAGAAAGAACCCGATAGGTGTTTACTTTCACGTTTGTCACATCCATCATGCGGTGACGTTGCGGATACTTCCGTCCACTTACAGCGCATCAGTCGGAAGAGTGAGGAGACGGGTTTGTCTTCCCGGGCCCCCTCTCTATCCTCTTCGGCCGAGGCATTGAAGACGTGAGTTTCTGAGACGATGAGCCAGTCATCACCTTGGCTTGCCACACTAATTTGCCCGGCTTGAAGTCGACGTCGTCTAATGGGAGTTGATTACGTCGGCTGATGTACTGCGGTATGTAGCCTCGGCCAGGTTCGCGGAGTATTTTCTAGAGGGGTACAGTTTGTTCCATTGGTCTGGGTCAATCTAGAGCAAGGAGGGTGCCGTTGTTTCGAATTGAGAGGGCAAGCGGTAATTGGGACGTACACTTTCGCTACAGTCGTGGAATGGCTCTCCTATATTGCTGAAAGTCGAATATGTCTACTTGAACAGTCACCACACATACACGCACACACGATCGTCCATCTTCTGCTGCATGGCATTGGGACTTTCAGCGATGAAGAGGCCAGGAAACCAGCGAAAACGAAAGGGGCGGCAGAGGAGGAATCAAATCTGGAGAACAGTGAGAGATCCTGCCATGTATTCGTACGTAGGAGATGGAGAATGGGGATCGGTGTGACTGTGCCATGGGATGATGCATGCAGCAACACACAAAAAGCAAACAGGAAACGGAACATGCCGCGGCAACAAGTGAATGCGTATAGTTTCCGAGATAACTTGATGGGACGAAGAAAACAAATCGAAGCTGGAAAAGCCAACCGCTTGGACACGGCCGCCGTCAGTGTCAGCCAATGTGATAGTCAGGCCAAGTCACACAGCACAGGAGCAGTCATGCAGTTGACGCCATCACACGCACTAGAGCAGAAAAAGATTCGCCAAGGAGGTAAAGAAGATGATGGCGACAAAAGGCGGCCACTTCGTAGCCTTGGCAGGAAGAAGAACTGAACTTTGCCCGTTGGTTGATATGGATAGACATGGATGGACGGGAGACGAGACGTTTGAGACAGGGCCGTGGCGTGCTCAAGACATGTCCCGTGCAGTATGGAAGAAGCGTTCATGCCCACGCCTGCGAGTAAGGGAATTTTCCATCTCTCAAGTAAACATGTTGTTGGTGTTGGTTGTAGCCATGGCCTGTTGACGGCTCAGTCCATGCCGAACTCGCGATGCCATGTCCTTTGGCCCAATACCTTCCCCAACACCGGACACAGCGGAATGGAGTCCACTTGCTGGGTATCAATAGGCTTAGGTTGTGTTATTCCCTATTGCGGACAGTAAGGCGTGGTCAAATATCGAGTTGATCTCCGAATTAAATCCAGGTTTGCCTGACGGGGAGTACTAAAATGGAGTGATTTGAACGGGGCCCTGACACAGAAGTAACTAATGACCAGCGGTCCACACACCTCACACCTCATACCTCTGTCAACTTGTACTCATTTGCCGCAGGAACAAGCGTGGAAGACAAAGCTGGCTGGGATGGTACATAAACACCATCAACGAACCAGGCTTCGGCAGTGCTTCCACCGGTAACTGATGGGTATCCGTCGTGGGTTGTGTGTGCACGAAGTACTTATGTCGCTCGTCAGCACGATATCAAGAGATCTAGGAACCCCGGCACGGGTCACCATGATCGACCAACCCAATCATGGGCCGCACCCCCGGGAGACCGGATTGGGCTTTAATGGGCAAACAGCACTGGAGACTCGGGTGACAGGGACCTCGACGTGTTTGATGTTTGGGAAGGAAGACGGTCATTCGGCACGATCCTCACGTTTGGCAACAGAGGCCTGTGTTCCCCGGGTCTCCGCGATAATTTGACGAAGTTCCGGTGACCGGCGGCGGCGGCGGCGGCGGCCATGATCTCAACCCGATGAACTGGGTAAGCCAAAGACTACATTCGGGCGGCAGGAACGGCAGACGATTAACAGAAGGTCTTACTAAGTGAAGGAACGTGCCCTGGTCTTGTTATGTATCAGGTGGCTTGCTGGCCAGAGCCTGCGGCGACGCGGCGAAGGCGGCGAGGCTTCTTCACTGCTGCCGCATCTCGCCGTCTTGATCCTATGCTCGTCTCGTTCTCGTTCGACTGGGCGTCTGAACTGCGCCTCCACCCATCTCAGCGGGCCCAAGAAAGACAGCCGTCAAAAATCTTGTCCAACAGCTTGGGGGGTGGAATACGTATTGTATCCTGCGATGGGACGATCCAGGAAGTTACCGTCACACATCACCACCGTCGTCGCACCAAGCGGGGATGAGGGGCTTGGAAGATGAGGATAACTTCATGAACAGAATACGAGCGGCCTCGACAGTTGGATGATATCCCACCACGGACGGCCCGGCAGGAGTTTCCCATGTCTATTCGCGCGGCAGCGTTGACTCGGCCCTGACATGGAGGTTTTCTAACATGTCACCTTGGCTTGACTTAGTCGCTGGTGAGTTGTGCAGCAAAGAAGAAGGTTCCGAGCTTCTAGCGCGGCTTCGATGCCACTGCAGTACAATCTGCGGAAAGTGGAGAGAGAGAGAGAAATGGGCTGTTGGCGTGAGAAGCAAAAACAGAGTGAGGTGGTGCAAGATATCAGAGACGGAGAGTTGGGACAAGGTTGCTGAAGCACGACAGGTCGCCACGCGAGGCCCGTGAGTTTCATTGGAAAGTGTGCCGTCTCCTTTGTGAGAGTCGTGTCAGTCGAATCCAAACAGGAACTTTCCGACCCTTGTTGGTACACATACTTCAGTATCCGTACATAGAGCGGGTTATTCTACCTGAAGGGTTCCAACCGACGTTCCTACGTGGCTTTGCTGCGTACCTCAGGTGCCCTGCATCCGATATGATTTCATCTAGGCGAAGTGGACTGTTGTCGAAGTCGTCTTGGGCTCATGGTTGCTTTTAGCATGATTACAACAGCACAACGTGGACTTGGGCTGCAAATGAGTCAAATCGATGCAAGATCTGCCTTGTCTTGTTTGGTCTTGTCTTGCCTCGTCTTCGTCCTGCATGTTTTCTACATGGTGGTCAACAGCAGATTAGCCCGCACGCCACCTACTATTAGCACCTAATCACCCAGTGAACATAGTCAAGTAGGTATCTTTGAGGAATGGAGAGCCGCACGTGTCTCGGTCTACCTGTCTCGGCCTCACGCTTCTTTGGGTAGCACAGCAGAACAGGCCTCCCACAGTTTACATCGTCTACAGTGCGGACGGTAAGTTGCGGTGCGTGCGGACTATTGAGAGGGAGAGAGAGAGAGAGAGACAGAGGGTCTGAAGTATCGCTGCCCCGGGATCTCGGGCGCGACGGACTGCGCTTTTTGCCTTTGAGCCTTGGGCACGCCAACGCCGACTCACGCCTCACGCTTCACAGCTCACGCTTCGATAAGACGATGCGGAACTACCCGTCATCGACATGAGAAATCTGTTCCTGGCCGAGAAGACGTCGTAGGTGAAACCGTCCAAAGGCCACCGCACTAGTCAACGCCGTCTGTCAGCCCGTCGAGTCGTCGACGCCATCAACCAGATCCCTGGAGATCAGCAGAATCCAAACCCGATGCAAACGGTCAGAACTTCCTTTGAACGGCGCTTGACTATTCGTACGTTTCTTTTCTTTCTTCCTTCGAAGCCAACCCGCTACTAGTCCGTTCAGTCAACAGCGCCCATCAGCCGCCATCAACCTTGCCTCCAGCACTGCCTGGGTCTACATAGTGCCCTTCATCCAATCCGCATCATTAGCTATCAAGACCAGCTGAGAGACTGGATTAGATGGTTGAGGCAGACTTCAAACCCAGCTGCCCACCCATTACTACATAGTACGGTTCCGAGTATACCGGACCGCACCATAGTACAGCATCTCACACCAGCAGGTGAGCACCCTTCCGTTCTCAAAAGTCCAGAGCCACCCTAGATTCATAAGAAAGTACCCGGGGCGGGGGGTCCACAACGTAAGGTAACGTTCAGGCTTCGAGGCAAGACAAGCCAAGATGGGGGCGAGAGGCACTGGAGAATGATCGTTTGGTGTGCGCCAGTCAAGACGCTCAACTCACTCCACCACACTCCGGCCCCTCCCCGAGTCCCCGATGGCTTCAAAATGCCGGGCTCATCCTGGCCTACGGGCGGGCTGAACGGGGTTGTCTTCCTCCTTCGCTGCGCCTCTGTCACCTGTGAGCTCTTTGAGCGGTATCCGTACCTGACGGGAATGAGGTATCGTTTCTTAATATGAATGGAACGAACTACTTCCCAGCTTGAATGAGGATGGAAAATGGAGAAGACCGAGGTATCAATAAACAGGACGATACATAACGGTTGAAACGCAACATTCCTTACCTAAACTTCCAATCCAAAAAGTGCGGTAGTTTAGGTATGACAAGTGTACCTATTCGTAGAGTCGTATCAGTACTCGATTCTCCTCACAGAGATAGATAGATACCTACAACCCTTTGTCAACGGGTGTCGGATCTGCGTGTCTGCAGCTCATTGTCAAAGCGGCTGCCCCCGTTTCTTCCACTTTCAATTTTCACTTTCCACTCTCCTAAGCTCGCTCTCTTGTCTTCATCCTTTCTTCCTCCATGGCTGGCCTATGTGTTTGCTGTTCTCCTCAGTCACATAATAGCAACCTTTCCGAGTCTCTTGAACCAGGCCGGTCCCCCCTGCTCCTCGTCGTCTCTCGCTCTCGACTCCTCGAGCCTGGCCCTGATCCTCTTCTCCACCCGCGCCCAGAGTCCATGATTGCCATCATTTCCCCCTACCCCTCCCCATGTAACGCATCGCCTGCTACAGGCTAGCTACATACGCCAACACTAGCCAAGGTACGTCTAATCTGATGGGGGTCCGGTCAAGGTCCCCCCTCTCAATTGTCCACTGTGCATGCTCCTCTGGCCAGAATTGGATGGGGTAAGGTACGGCGCGGCATGCGAATACCTACAAGTACTCGTATGCCTGCTGCATCTTGGCTGCAATGGGGAGGAGACCCTTTCCAATTGGGACCTCTCTTCTCTTATCCGTAACTTTTGCGCAGATTGAGGAAAAGATAAAATAAAAAAAGGGACGACGTTGCTTGTCGAAAGTCCCCAGTAAACGTTTCTCACGACACAGTGTCTTTCTGTCTTCCTCTGTGCCTCTCTCCCCCTCTTCCTCTCTCTCTCTCTCTCTCTCTCTAGCTCTTCCAGTGCTCGAGGGCAGCTTGGCCAAACATACGTTCTATACCTGCAGTACCCACGACATCCACATCTCAGCCATTATAACCGCATTCTGCTTGCCCTCAAGCTTCTCAGGTTTTTCGTTAGAACTGGACCCCGTCAACCAACCCTCAACTCGGTCGTTCTCTCAACCTTAGCCGAACGCTACATCACGGCCGCAAGTTTGCAACCCTCGATTCCACCTTGACACTCCTCACTTGCCGTCGCCGGACCAGGACCACCCCGGATCGTCCAAACCACGGCTACCCCCGGACACAGCAGGGAAACAGGCCCAGTGAGACTCGCAACACCGCCGGTTCTCAAACACCACCGGCGTGGCTTGGAAGCCTCTCATCTATGCGCTTGTCTGGCATTCTTCCATCACGTCCACGGCCTCCGTCCTCCGTCCCATTCTCCCACATCCACTTCGGGAACCTCGCATAGAAACGGTCTGTTCCCATTCCCGTCCGCTGGCTCCTCGAAACGACCAGACAAACACACACCAACTATCCTCTTGCGTGACGGTGCAGACTTAACCCCATCACCCGCACTCTACCGTCTCTTGCCACATACCATCTCCCATCATCTCAACACGAACACGCGCTCCCGGGCCCGGCCTGTCCCCGACACTTGGTTCCAGACATCCCACATGGCTGCCGGTTTTCTCTCTCTGTCAGAGTGAATAATCGTTGCCTCCGCACACCACGGAAAGTTGCCTGTCGCTGGAGTTTCAAGTCCCAGCCCCGTGGCCCAGACATCACCAGTCGATCTTTCACACTCACCCTGATCTACCGTCAGCGTGTTAATCACACGGCGTATCACGCTCTTGCAACCTCCTCGCCATATTGGCCGTACGGAATTTCTGTCGAATACAAAGACACGTCGTTTCCATCAGCTCGAACCCGAAGAGAGCCCGACCGCTCTTCCGCTCAAACCATTCCATCAACGAATACTACCGATTCGCCGACTGCGACACGACATCGACACTAGCGTCTAAGCTGACATCATGGTCTACTGTGGAAAGCCCTCGAGGGGCTGCCAGATGTGCAGGACCCGAAGGATAAAGGTAAGCCCTCTCATCCGAGCCACCGGTTGCTCGTTGAAGCCGTCGTGAGCTGCCAACTGACATGAGCCGCCTGCGCAACGCAGTGTGACGAGACGAAACCCACGTGCAACCAATGCGCCAAGTCACGCCGACAATGTCCTGGTTACAAGGACGAATTCGACCTCGTCTTCCGAAATGAGACCAAGGCTACGGAGAGGAGGGCCCAAAAGGCAAACCGCAAGGCACTCGCGCAGAAAGGAAAGGATATCGACTCGCCATCCTCCGGATCCGAGAAGGTCGTTTCACCCACGTTTAAGAAGGAAGCCGATTCCCCAGCCGTCGTCAGTCCAGGCCTGAATGTGCCTGTCGAGCAGATGGCTTCATGCCACTTCGTCGCAAATTACGTCCTCCTGCCCCGGCAGGGTAGTACCCGCGGCTTCATGGAATATCTGTTGCCACTACTCAAGCACGATCAAGGAAATCATCACCTTCAGCACGCATTCAACGCGTGTGCACTGGCCTCGCTGGGCAACCGACCGAATGCCGCCGGAACTGGACTGAGCGACAAGGCACTGGGCCACTACACGAAGGCGCTCGCCGCAACTCATATCGCCCTCAAGGATCCGGACCAGTCCAAGTCTGACGCCACGTTGGCTTCTGTTCTCATGCTCGGTCTTTTTGAAAACATGACTGCCCGCCAGATGGGTATGTTCGCCTGGGGCTCGCACATTGAAGGCGCCATTCAGTTAGTCAAGGCTCGTGGTCGCAAGCAACTGCGAACCAAGACGGGCCTGCTCCTCTTCATCGCCGTCCGGACACAAATGATTATTCACACTCTCAGCACGGGAACGGCGCCCATCATGGGCGTTGAATGGTGGCTCAGCGACGCCGTCAAGGACGAGTCAGCCGCTCAGTGCCAGAGGCTCAATATCAAGACCGCCGAATTGAGGGCCGAGGTCACGCGGTTGATGTCGACTGTGGCCCGGAGCCCGGAGAACATCGATATCATGCTCGACATGATTCGTCGTGCCCAGACCGTGGACCAGGAGTTCGTCAACTGGATGAGGAATACACCCGACTACTTCCAATACACGACTGTCGCATGGGAAGACAACGTCCCTAATGGCGACTACACCAAGGCGGAGGTATTCCCTGGCCGGGTGGATGTGTATCAAGATTTCTGGATTGCCAGCGTCTGGAACATGGCTAGAGTGTCTCGCCTCATTCTCGCGTCGGTGATCGTTCGTTGCGCCGCCTGGGTCTGCTCTCCCGTGGACTACCGCACAACTCCGGAATACGCAACGGCTGCGCGGACATGCGTTGACACGATCAGCGACATTATTGCATCGGTGCCATACCACCTGGGCTGGCACTTGAAGAGACCCGAGCTTCTCGAGAGGGCCAACATTTCCGGCTTCGCCTGTGGCCTCGAAGAGTCGCAGAAGGGTCTCCCCGGTTACTTCCTCACCTGGCCGCTGGCTTGTCTCCACGGACAGGACTACACCACCGATGCACAGAGAGCCTGGGTCGTCGGGCGCCTCAAGTTCATCGGTGACGAGCTCGGCGTCAAGTACGCTCACATTCTTTCACAGGTAAGCCGGCTCGTTCATGCCGTCCCGGGCATTTTACAAACTAACAATGCACACAGATGCAAATCCGCATCCCGTCAATGCTCATCAGAAGAGATGGCCTGATGGCGCAGCCGTACCCCCAGGCCCACAACTTTGAGAAGCTGCTCTCAGCGAGATATGCGCCTCCCACGGCTGGCTACTCGATGAATCCCCTTCAGCAACGCGAGGCCATGCAAAAGGAGTTCGTGGAGAAGCACAAGGCGGAGCTGCTCGCGAAAGCTACCGGAACCGCCGGCCAGGCAGGGCAGTGGGTTGCCCAAAACTGGCTGACGGTGCGATCTGGCCCACAATGATTTGGTGACGAAGTTGGAGGAAAGTCAGCTGGGTCATTCAGAGGCGGCGGCGGCTTAACAGAAACGATCCGAGCCGGTTCTCATTTTGGCGTCTACGCGAGACGTTTCTTTCGATTCTGCCTGACGACTTCATTCTCTTGACGAACTAGACTCTCTCCATGTTGTAAGACAATGACGAGCTGAGCGAGGCAGGTGGTGGATGGATCTGTTGAAACTGCGAGGCTTCCGTGGAGGAAAAGAAATACAAAAGTTGGGGAATGGCTCGCTAGTCCGCGAGGGCTCAGGCAGCCTGAAAATATCTTGGAGACAGGGATTTGATACCACGGCGTTGGACTTTTTTTGTTGTTTTTCCTTTACCCCTGGATTCATATGCATCAAGCAGTTCTATGCAGTTGATCTGAGGTACATCACACCCTGGTAGAGATTGACGGTCACATTTGATCCGCAACTTGTAAAAAATGTTTCTGCAGTTACTCATTGACTCTTTGAATCATCAACTGCCATCGGCGGTGCCAAATTGACGTAGTTGTCCACCCATCTTACTCGTGTGTGCGGCGTAAATAAGGTAGCCTTAGTGCTCCTGATGCCGACGCCGACGAAACTCGGCAGTGCCAAGACACGAGTCCTGCATTGAAGATGGATGACCCCGCTGCCATCCCAACCCACGGCCGTTCAGCGCTCAGGCGATCGGCGCGTTTTGCAGGTTTTCCCCTCCCGCCCAGAAAGAAAGAAAGAAGGAAGTTGAGTTCACTCTGTACTCCAAACAATTCAGGCCCTGCCAGGGTATCTTGAAATTCGCTCTCCCGGTTTCGCTCCCCAGTGACTTATCGTCTTGTCCATTTGACATCGCCACGAACGCAGACCGAATCGCCACCTGGTTCCTCTCCTTTGCCCAGTAAAAAGGTGTGACTGCGTCATCGTCCATTAGAATTGCCGATGAAAGTATCCATCGCCAGCTCCGAATGCCGCAAAAGTCGATAGGTTATTGTAACAATCAAGTAGTCTTCGTCTTTTTGATCTGTCCGACGGTGTTCCCGCTGAGATTCCATGCCTTTACGACCCAGTTCTGCGTTTGGTCGACATATCTTTCGTTGGAGGTGTGCTTGACGCCGACGCGCATGCCGTCTTTGGTGAAGACCACGTTCTTCTTCCCCATTCTCTCGGAGGCCGACTCTTGGATCTTAACGACGGAGATGTACACTTGCCAGAGGACCCAGGCGACACCGACGACGAATGCGATGGTGATGATGAGGGGTAGAATTTGACTGTACGCGCACAAGGCTTTGTATCAGCGGACTGGCTAGAAGAAGTGGCGAGCAAGACTTTGACAGGAATGGGTCGGCGTTGCGACAAGTAAACGAGATTTGGCAGACAAGGAAGACGACGCGAAACATGCGCCATGCTGAATGCGATTGTCTCTCTTCCACGCCGCCTCTGTGTTATTGTTTCCATGACTTACCTCAAAGCCGAGGGTTTCGGCTGCGCCTTCTTGCCCCAAGCCATGTTTGCGATTTGCGGTTACAATTGCGGTCGACGTGAGAGTGGTGGTAGAAGATTGGGGAGCACTGAGCTCAAGAATTTCGTCTGTGTCTCGTGTAATCAAAGGGCGAGGAAGGTGACGGCGCCAACGACACGAATGGCGAGAAGGAGAAGACGATAAACTTGTGAGAAATCGAAGCGGCTTCGAAAACCCGGTCGAGAGGTTGGTTGGTTGGCTCGATTGATAAAGGAAGGGTCGACGCTGATCAGGGAGACGGTTGAAGGGTCACAGTTGGCGGGCTGGCGAAGGGTGAAGTAAAGTTAGGTAGGTAGAGTAAGGTAAGGTAGGCAAGTAGAACATACGTAGCAATCTTGGGGAGAAGGAAAAAGCGTTGTTTAAGGCAGAAATGACAGAGGAGCAGAGTCGGATAGAGTCTAGCTGAGCTGAGCTGATAGTCGGGAAGCTAAAGCAAGAAAGCAAGTACCAAGTCGAGACGAGACCTCTGACGCCCAACCGAGAACAAGACCGAGACCAGGAACATGAACAAGATGATGAGATGGGAGGCGGAAACAAGCACTTTTACAGACGGGCACAGGCACCGTTTATTAGGGATAAGTAAGGTAGGCCAAAGTGAAAGGTAGGGTAGCCCTACGCAACACCAGATGAGGACAAGGACAAGTCTGGGTGGCCTCCGTATATTCGTAGCGTAGGTCTAATAGTATGCGAGGTAAGGTAGGTAGGTACCTTTAGATATTCGTATGTACTATGGATGTGACCAAGGGGTATTGCAGTACCTGCTACTCTCCCACAACTCCGTAATGATAGCTGCTTTCCCTTCTTGGACTAGATACATGCGTCTCCAGGTGGAGGAGAGGAAGAAAGATGCCGATGTGGTGCAAGTTGTAATGTACCAATATTATATCGAAGCCGAAAAAGGGCTGAGTCGCGGCGAACTGCGACACGCAATCGACGGCGCAGGGGATCGAAGTGGCCGTTGCCGCGTCAGGGACCAATGGTGGGAACCATGGGGCTCTTACCTGGGCTAGGTGCCTGCCTACCTTAGGGGATGAGCGGGAGGGGCCACCAACCGTTTTAGTGCAACCGTAGACGCTAAAAAGTGACTTCCATTGGTCTCCGGCCAGCTAACATGCTAGGTAACCTAGAATCCAGGGAGATGCTAAGCACCGCGGCGGCCCCGCCGACGCCGGGATGAGGACTGAAAAAGGGCGTCAAGGGCGACCTCGGGACCATTTGGGGGCTGCTGGGACCGCTATGCCACTTTATCGGAGGCCGAGGCCAGACACCCTGCTGATGGAACGGAACTCTGGTGCCGCTGACCGGCGCACCGACCAAACAGTTGAACTCTGAATTTTGTAGGTAGTTGGGTATTGTGCTCCGTGTGGTGAGCCGTCAGTCTATCAGATGGAAGCTATCTCTGCCACCTCGACATCTACGACCCGACACGACGACGATCTGACTGCGGCAACCGTAATATCAATGACTTGACTTTGATCGAGGCAACGGTTCGTCTTCCGTCTCTCGCTCGGCTGTCTCGGTGACTTGCCGCGCCTGCTAAGGCTCTGCCGGTTGTCCTGTGCCGTCAGTTGCTGGGCGTCGTCTCCACCTGATTCGGTCGTATTTGATACGGACGACGTTGGAAGTTCACAGATCACGCAGAACCTCAGCCTGTTCCTGTCGATGTGTGTTGCTCGTGTGCCGCCGTGTGAATGAAATGTTGAGGTGAACGGAAACGAGGTAGGTAGAGCTACCTTAGGAGATCTGAGGACCCAGCATAAGGTACGGATGGATGCCTTGAATGGGACACAGACCTGACACAGTCCCTCCCGATCCTGCACAACACAGCTGCCTTAGCCCGTCTTTCAATTAAACCAACTGATTGGCGTGACAGATTGTCAGTGGCATCTAGAATGACATATTGGCTCGCCATTATGTACAGGATGCCCTGGCATTTGGCGGGGTCTTGACCACAGGCACGGCATTATGTAATCACCTCATGGGCTCAGTCCGGCTGGATGATGTTCCTGTATCCGAATTCATCAGCCTCACCTGGCTCGTGCGCCATCTCACCCGCCACAGTAATCTGCCCCGGACCCACCCCAACCTAAGGTACGCCACGCCACGCCTGGGCTGGTGTAGACAGGTCAACACTCAACACCTAGAGCTGGAACGAGTGGGTTGAACCACCTGTCCATTCAATTGTACTCGAGGTTGGCTGCTACTGCCTCGTTGCCTCCCTTCCTCTCTCCGACACAGCCCTGCCAGGCTATTCACGGTTCAGACCAGCCAAATCCGACTCCAGTCCAACGTCCAAACTCGGTCACTTTGGTCGTCGGTGCTGTGGACACATTTCTCTGTTGAGCTATCTGCTGTCTGCTGTCCTCTTCGAGCCCCTCGCTACCTAAGGTACCTTGCCTTGACGCCACGCCGCCTGTTGCGTACCCCAAAAACCCACCGCAACCCGCGCAACAATTCGCGTTTCTTGCAACCGCCTCCCGTCCTCTTCCATCCATCGCGAAGCTGCTTCTTCAATCCGTATAGAGCAAGTAGCACGGCCCGTCCGAAAACACCGCCCACCATGTCGGCGCCGAACGACGGCTACGGCCAATATCCCCCGCAGCAACAACCTTACGCCGACCAGCCCCAGGACGCCTACGACCCTCAGGCCGCCCAAGCTCCTCAACCTGCTGCCGCCGACCAGGGCAAGAAGAAGAAGAGAGGTTATGCGACCCAGGCTTATGAGTTTGGAGCTGGTGCCAATTCCAATGCCGCCGGCGCACCTCCGCAAGCAGGCGGTCTGTACGGCATGCCTCAACCCCAGGCTCCGGCCTACGGAGGTTACCCTCAGCCAGATGCTCAGCCCGCTGCCGCTGCCGGTCCTGGTCCTGGTGCTGGTGCTTATGGCTCCCCTCAACCCCAGCAGTACGGTATGCCGCAGCCCGCTGCTGCTCCCGCCCCGGCCTACGGCGGTTATCGGGCCCCCGATGCCGGCTACCCTGCCCCCGGAGGCGCTCCTCCCGCCGGCGGAGTCGCCGGTCTCAACCAGCAGATGGCCGGTATGAACCTCGGCGGGCAGCCTCAGCAGCCTGCTCCTGGTCAGGCCGCTCGGCCCATGGCCTTGAACCAGCTCTACCCTACCGACCTGATGAACCAGCCTTTCAATGTCTCCGAGTTGGACTTGCCTCCCCCTCCCATCATTCTGCCTCCCAACGTACGTCACCGCTTGTTACTCGTCCTGAAGCTTGCTTAACTCTGACATTCTCTTCTAGACCAGCGTAACTCCCTCTCCCGACGCGAACTGCTCTCCTAAATACGTGCGCTCGACGCTTAATGCCGTGCCGACTACACACTCCCTACTCAAGAAGTCGCGGTTACCTTTTGCGCTTGTCATACAGCCATATGGAGCTCTCCACGATAACGAAGACCCAATTCCTATTGTTCAGGATCAAGTCATTGCGCGTTGCAGACGATGCAGGACCTACATTAACCCCTTTGTCACCTTCTTGGATCACGGGCACAGATGGCGCTGTAACATGTGCAACCTGACCAACGACGTGCCCCAGGCCTTCGACTGGGATGCCGCGTCGCAGAGGAGCACTGATCGATGGGGCCGCTATGAGCTGAACTACTCCGTTGTCGAATTTGTTGCCCCTCAGGAGTACATGGTCCGCCCTCCTCAGCCTCTCGTCTACCTCTTCCTCTTCGATGTCAGCTACGCCGCTGTCTCGACTGGCCTCCTGGCCACCAGCGCTCGCACGATTCTCGACAGCCTTGACAGAATACCCAATGCCGACCGCCGTACTCGTCTTGGCTTTATTGCTGTAGACTCTAGCCTGCACTACTTCTCGGTCCCGAAGGATGGTGAGGAGAACGCCGAAACCAGCATGTTGGTTGTCAGCGACCTGGACGAGCCCTTCCTCCCCGTTCCCCAGGACCTGCTTGTCCCCTTGACCGAAAGCCGTCAGAGCATCGAGAGCTTCCTTGCCAAGCTACCAGAGATGTTCCAGAGCAACCAAAACAACGGTTCCGCTATGGGCTCGGCCCTGAGAGCTGGCCACAAGCTCATCTCTGCTCTGGGAGGCAAGATTGTGGTGCTCAGTGCCTCGTTGCCTAACGTCGGTGTCGGTAAGCTTGATATGCGCGAGGACAAGAAGCTGCTCGGTACAAGCAAGGAGAGCAGCTTGTTGCAAACTTCAAACAGTTTCTACAAGAGCTTCGCTGTGGAATGCTCGAAGAACCAGGTCTCCATCGACATGTTCCTCTTCTCCTCGCAATATCAGGATGTCGCCTCCCTCAGCAACCTGCCGAGATACACCGGAGGTCAGACGTGGTTTTACCCCGGCTGGAACGCCGGCCGGCCGGAGGATGCCATCAAGTTCGCTTCTGAGTTCAGCGACTACCTGTCGTCGGAAATCGGGCTGGAGGCAGTCCTTCGCGTTCGTGCCACCACTGGTCTCCGCATGAATGCCTTCTACGGCAACTTCTTCAACAGGAGCTCGGATCTTTGCGCTTTCCCAGCCTTCCCCAGAGACCAGTGCTACGTGGTCGAAGTCGCCATCGACGAAAACCTTACCAAGAACGTCGTCTGCTTGCAGACGGCGGTTTTGCACACGACATGCAACGGGGAGCGCCGCATTCGCGTCATGACCCTGGCTCTACCAACGACAACGAACCTCGCGGACATCTACGCCTCGGCGGACCAGCAAGCAATCACGACGTACTTCAGCCACAAGGCTGTCGAGCGCGCCTTGAGTGGAGGCTTGGAAGCCGCCCGCGATTCACTCCAGAACAAGCTCATCGAGCTTCTCCAGACTTTCAGGAAGGAACTTGCGGGTGGCAGCATGGGGGGTGGCTTGCAGTTCCCGTCGAACCTCCGCGGCCTTCCTATTCTTTTCCTTGGCCTCATGAAGAACGTTGGTCTCCGAAAGTCAGCACAGATCCCATCAGACTTGCGCTCTGCTGCGCTCTGCCTTCTGTCGACACTTCCTGTTCCTCTTCTCATGCAGTACATCTACCCCCGACTCTACTCGCTGCACGACATGCCCGACAACGCAGGTGTTCCCGACCAAGAAACAAGTCAGATTGTGCTTCCACCACCCGTTAACCTTTCATCGGAGCGTTTCGCTCCGTACGGCTTGTATCTCATTGATGACGGCCAGACTCAATTCCTGTGGGCGGGCAGAGACGCCGTGCCGCAGTTGCTGGCCGACGTGTTCGGTGTGGAGGACAGGACTCAGCTTCGGGTAGGCAAGGGAGCTGTGCCAGAACTGGAAAACGATTTCAACGAGAGGGTGCGGGCAGTGGTTCACAAGAGTCGAGACCACAAGTCCAAGGGAGTCGGCAGCATCATTCTGCCCCACCTCTACATCGTCCGCGAAGACGGCGAACCGAGCCTCAAGCTGTGGGCGCAAACACTACTGGTGGAAGACAGGGCAGACCAGGGCATGAGCGCGGCACAATGGCTTGGAATTCTGAGAGAAAAGGTGAGTGGCGTCGGCGCCTCATGAGACGAACTTGTTGACTAACAACTTGGACAGGTTGTGACTTGATTTAAAACTCGACGAGGAAGGTGGGTGCAAAAGGGGAGCACTTGGTGGGTGTCGGGTTGATTATTTTAGAACAGTCTCTCCACGATAGTAGAGAACAATACGCATAAATTTGGCCGAACACTCATGCGCTCATGGCCTGGCAGGAAGTGCACGAGTAGGGCAGCGGCGACATTTCCCGTCGGGTTGTCCCGTTGGCGTCGCTAACGCCAGCTCCAGCTCCAATACCGAAAACGCCGCCTCCACTGGTTCTCGGGCGTGGTGGAGAGGTGTTGGCCGGCGAGACCGTAAAGTGACGAGTGACAAAAAAGGTTGTATCAGATGGAGGCAAGCCAGCCGCCTGGGATGGTTCGCGTCAGATAGATGAAGTCGTCTCGGAAGATTGATAAGCTTGTGGGTAAAAGTACCCTGTCAAACTGCATGGAAGACCCGTCAACCTGTCGCGCGTGGAGGTGCAGCCGAAGGAAAGCATCGAGACGGGGCAGAGCAGAGCCAGCCTGGCGCGGTTTGACCAGCCGCCGCAGCCTCGCGTACGGCGCAACGACGCAAGAAAAAAAGAGGCAAGGGTCGAGTGACGTTCATTTCAGTCCACACTCTGCGCCTGGGTGGTTCTTGGAGGGACTGGATTGGAGGGACCCGTCACCTGGATCGGATTGGCGGGCTGCAGTGGTGGGTTGTGGGTGGTGAAACTGGCACCAGTGAGAAGTGAAACACACGCGCCGGAGTGGGAGGAGACGCCTCTGGGGCCAATGGCAGGCGGGGCTAGGCGCCGTCGCTGATGGAAATGTACGAAGTATGTGCCGGGCTGCAGAGTGCTGGCCAATGCCGGCTCCGAGACGAGTTACTGGAGGTCATCCAGTGTGCAATGTCGGCCGGGCAGGCTGCAGCTCGCAGGGCATGGCATTTCATCACATGGCATAAGGCAAGGTTTATTTTTGTCGGTCTTGTGGCAGTCATCATCGGCTTATTAGGTAGGTTGGCCGCGTCTTTTGGGACCCGACGATGCAAAGATAACCAGACGGTTGGGGAAGAGTGACGGATAAGATGTGGCATTGCAGGAGAACAACCGAATAGCTTAAAGCTGATGACCAGGAACGGAAGACACGTGCTGGCTTACGACCATGTTTCCACCGTGGGCCATTCCATGACGTGAGCTGTCCAGAGCTTTCCCGGTGTGGTGCAACAAACCCCAAGGCCGTCGAGGTCGAGACTCAGTATCGATTTCAGGGAATATGTCACTCAGAGATAAGGGACAGCATTGATGTGTAGCCGCCGGCTGTGTCTACCTGGGCGAGTCGGAAGACGTCCACGACAAGAAACATTCATCTATCTGCGATTCACCTTGAGTCCAGACTCACGACTCGACTCCTCATCGTGGGGGCCGTTCGGGTATCGGTTACAAGGTTGAAAGCAATAGAGTACAGATCACGAAGGAAACTGACTTGCCAGAGTTGCAATCAACGACCAATTGGATGGGCCGGGTGAAACTTGGGAAGGCCGAGACGACAGCATGACTCCGCGAACCTTGCTGTTAAGGAGTGGTCCGTCGAGAGAAAGCAAGACGCGATCGATCCGGTGAGAGTATCTGCAATTGCAATTGCTGTGTGCGAGACGGCGCGTCGACAGTTGATTCACAGGATGACGACGTTTCTTCCGTTCCTCACCCCGGATTGTTTTACTGCGAGGCTGTGAGAGGGAGGCGTTCGCAGCTTCAAACACCGGACCAGGTCTCACATTCTCGTATTTGCAAAGTCGTCCCTGGTCTCTCGAGTCTGAGGTACCGTAGTAGGTACTCCGTTGTGAGATGGTTGCCGTTCCGATTTGCTGTGCTGAGCACTCTGCAATTGGCTTCGTCTGTCGCTGGGGGTTCCTGGCACGGTTAACTCCATTTCCCCTAGGAACATAAGAAAGTACTTAGTGAAGTGGACGTCAACGTCCGATACGTGCTCGCCTGGACTTGCCGTGATAATGGATGGGCTGGAGATGATTGAAGATGTGCATCTGTTGTATTGTATGAAAACCTTCCATCGGGCTGTCCGTGATCTTGGCAGAAGTTGGATATGCGGGAGTACCTCAACCAGCAGCAGAAACAAACAGCCGATTAGACGCTTCTAGTCGTCAACGCGCAATTTGATCAGCTCCCATCCCGCGCCAACCACGTTATCGGGCACGAGCAGTCAGGTACCTACCTACCCGTACAGCAGTGGTGGGAGTGAGTGGTGACTGCAGTCTGAAGTCTGAAGAGGTGAGTGGCCCTTGAAAGTGGTCCCTGCTTGGGGTTCCTGAAGCAAGCACGTTTCCAAAACAAAGGTACCTGGACCTTGGCCATAATCTTCATCGCAGACAGGAGAAGGTACCCGTACATCTTGGTGACCACGGTAGCTTTCCCCTGCTGCGACGTTGGGCCGGAATAAGGTACGAATAGAAAAGTAGTTTCTCATCGCCAATCGTATGCTGAGAGACTTGAGTCCGAAGTCCTCTCCTGTCCTTTCCCCTCCCCCTCCTTTGACCCTCCGCCTTCATTCGTCTTCTTTTCAGTCCCAGGTCTCGCCAGATTCCCATCCGCGCCTGCGTCTGCGTCTGTCCACAACATCAGCCTATCCGTATTCTTCTCCTCTCTCTCTCTCTCCTCTTCCAGTTTATTACCTCACCTTGGCTTCTGCTACACAACGGTGAAAGACCGGACGAGCAACATCAGGCCGAGAAACCAACACAACTGCGGCGACTCATCGTGGTAGAGACCAGGAGAAACAAAGACAGAGCTAGGAATCTACACGTTGTTGGCGGGGTAAGGTGAGCAAGCTGACATGCTGTTTCCCTTCGTACCTTGCTCTCTGCCCACCGCAAGCTCGCAAGACAATTCCTGTTGCTCTCAGCCTCACTTGTGTCATACCTCCCCCAGCTCACCTAACATCGACACACGATAGGTATATAGCACGTCGACGAGTCCGCGTATTTTGGCTGACCAAGGCAACTTGCTGATAGGCATCGGACATTTTAGACGTCGCAACTTGCCTCTGCCTCACCCTGCCTGCTAGGTAGCTTACCTTACCTTGGGTTACTTGAGTGTTCAGGCTCTCGGTACGTATACTGTAACTAAGCTTCTTCGTGATTTATTCCTAGGTTCCCTTCTCTCGCCGTCCGTTGCTTTGCTTGCATTCCCAATCCCGGAGCATCATCAACTGGAGTGCCGGATGCACATCCGCAACCGCTCATCACCCTAGGTCCCATCTGTCTCCGTCTCCGTCTCCGTCTCCGTCTACAGAGTACTTCGTCTTCTTCATCCTCACCTCCTCATCCTCCACCATCGCTTCCCCTTCGGTCTACAAACCCTCCTCGCCGCGAAGATCATACAGGCACGCTCTAGTCCAGACCCGGCATTCAGCTCCTAGAACAGCTTCCACTGCCAGTAGTAACCTGAGCCCCGGTTCAGGAGTCGCCAACCCGTCTCTTGGCCCGCGTGCTCTCCGTGCTTCTTTGCGCATCTTACCTACGGCTACGTCTCTCGTCTGAAGTCCTGTCGCAGGGGGTGCTCGGTTCATCACCCGTCTCCCGTTCCCCTTACCTGGAGTCGTTTCGTTGCCTCACCTCACCTCACCTTACGACCCGCTCTCGCTTCCTGAGTCGCCGTCATTGTTGCTGCACGGAATCACAGGTCACGATCACGGTCACGGCCACGGTCACGGTCGCGCAGTCGCAGTCGCAGTCGCAGTCGCATTCACCACTAGCTGCTGTCAGTGGTCGCATCTGTCTGGCTCAGGTTGGGCTTGCGCTTGGGTTCTGCCTCTGCTTCTCTTCTGGAAGCCTGCCCGCCCTGCATAAAGCCTGTCGCTTCAAACTCTCCGGTTGTGCCTGTGCCGGCTGAGAGGGACGGACGGCTTTCGAGAAGACAGGAAGAAGTCGACGCAATTCGCCTCTGGACTGCTTGTTCTCCCCGCAACTCAATTTCGCAGCTGGAGGGTTTATTGATCACGTATCGTCTGCGAGCCCTGTCTTGTTGGAGTCTGTCTGCCTTGCCTTAGGAGAGGACTGACCCTATCCCTATCCCGTCCGACCCAGCTGGTCAGGACCCTCACTTCTCACTCAACCTTGCGCATCCCATGCCGGGATACCTGCCTCTTCTGTCTCTTAACCCGGTAGATGTAGGAGCTCCCTCCAGCTAACATTCAACTCTGCGCACAATAGGCCTCCGCTGTGTCTGGCTCTCTCGCTACCGGAATCTTGATTACCACTCTGGTTTCCTTCAATCGGCTTCGTCTCGCCTTACTACTGCAAAGACGCAGCGACCAGGGCAGCAGCAAGCTTGGTCGTCTACTTTGGCTGCGTGCTTTAGAACGAGCAAACCCGAGACGTTGCCTTACAATAAAACACTTCCCCGGCCTGTGACAAGCGGACCTCACCCAGCACCACCACCACCACCACCACCACCACCACCAATACCACCAGTCAGCACCATTCTGTAAGGTGCCTTACCACCTCAGCATAAGGTACAGCTACAGCCTACAGCACCCCCTCCCCTCCCTCCAAGGCCCGAGCGGACCCAAGAAACACGGCCCTCGCCCACTTTCGATCCTCCGACGACAAACTCCCCTCTCCCCGTCTCCCGTCTGCACTAGACTCTAGACTCACCTCCCGTCACCTCAGACTCAGACTCAGACTCCAGTGTTCCCTCCCACCCGCTCGCTGTCGCTGCGCTTCGCTTCGTCTGCGTCTGCATCTGCGTCTTTCTTTGTCACCTTTCCCCCCCCCATTCCCTTCCCCTCCCCTCCCGTCCCTCACTCTCGAAAAATATCCCAACCCGATTTGCCTGTGTCTGTCCATTGACTGGACTGACCTGGTTTTCGCCTTTCCCTTCCGCAGCCCGTCAACGAACAAAGTCTTTCCTGCTTTGCTTTGCTTTGCGAAACCTTTTGTCTCTGCGACGACCGTCCTCTTGTATTTTGTTTTTGGACATCCGTCGATCCCGCCACCCTGCCTTCCGACAAGTCACAAAACGGCCTTCCCGCGCCAGTAATTATACCCCCGCAGACGACGATACCAAATAACTCCTGGGCTCGTTACCGAACCACCGCACCGCAACGCAACGCACCGCACAGCTCCCTACCTAACCTATCGCCCAAGGCAAGGCAAGGCAATTGTGGTTCTGCGAGAGAACGCCTTATTAGAACGACTTAATTCTCACCCTTCCTTCTCTCCCCCCTTTTTCTCCCGTGCTCCGCTCGACGTGGTATTCCCTTCGCGAGGACCCGCCTGCGCTACTGCTCTGGGCTGTCGACAACTACCACGACCTCACCTCCTCGACAACTCCCTCTACCAACCAAACCAAACCAAACCAAACCAACCAACGAAACCATCCTCGCACAACTCCAACCATGTCGCGCGCGAATCCTCCCAACGCTTCGGGCTCCCGAAAGATCTCGTTCAACGTGAGCGAGCAGTACGACATCCAAGATGTTGTCGGTGAGGGTGCTTACGGAGTTGTCTGGTATGTCGGCACGAGTTCCAATTCGCACCCCGGGAGACCCGTCCAACTGACCGAGACCATTACAGCTCCGCGATACACAAGCCCTCCGGCCAAAAGGTGGCCATCAAGAAGATCACTCCCTTCGACCACTCCATGTTCTGCCTGAGAACGCTGCGTGAGATGAAGCTGTTGAGATACTTCAACCATGAGAACATCATCTCCATCCTCGATATCCAGAAGCCCCGAAGTTATGAGACCTTCAACGAGGTCTACCTCATCCAAGTACGTTACCCCTGGAAGACTTGCTTCGCGCGACACAATCGCTGACCAGCCTTCGCTTCCAGGAGCTTATGGAGACGGACATGCACCGTGTTATCCGCACCCAAGACCTGTCCGACGACCATTGCCAATACTTCATCTACCAGACTCTGCGTGCCCTCAAGGCCATGCACTCTGCCAACGTTCTCCACCGTGACTTGAAGCCCTCCAACCTGCTTCTCAATGCCAACTGCGATCTGAAAGTCTGCGACTTCGGTCTTGCGCGTTCTGCAGCTTCCCAGGAGGACAACTCAGGTTTCATGACGGAATACGTCGCAACACGATGGTACCGTGCTCCCGAGATCATGTTGACCTTCAAGGAGTACACGAAAGCCATTGACGTGTGGTCGGTGGGTTGCATCCTGGCTGAGATGCTGAGCGGAAAGCCCCTGTTCCCCGGCAAGGACTGTAAGTCTATTCCATCGTCAACCGCGCTGCTGAATCTGTGACGCTGACGACGACAAACAGACCACCACCAGTTGACCCTGATTCTCGACGTCCTCGGAACGCCGACAATGGAGGATTACTACGGAATCAAGTCTCGTCGCGCGAGAGAGTATATCCGATCGCTGCCCTTCAAGAAGAAGGTGCCCTTCCGTACTCTCTTCCCCAAGACGTCTGACTTGGCTCTTGACCTGCTCGAGAAGCTTCTCGCTTTCAACCCTGTTAAGCGCATTACGGTTGAGGAAGCTCTCAAGCACCCCTACCTCGAGCCTTACCACGACCCCGATGATGAGCCCACCGCGCCGCCCATCCCGGAGGAGTTCTTCGACTTCGACAAGCACAAGGACAACCTGAGCAAGGAGCAGCTGAAGCAGTTGATCTACCAGGAGATCATGCGGTGAGCGACGGCGCAGGGAACAGGCAGGAAAAGTCCACGTGTCAAGTGTGTGGATGATTTGGAAAGGACACGACTCGGGCGACATGCCGAGCCAGCAGCAGAGAGATACAGAGAGCAGGGGATGATGATGACGATGGTCCAGAGGAACTGAGAGGACTCTATAGACATTTGACGTGGACGGAGAACTGAGCCGTGAGGCTGGCGGAGGTCAGGAAATACAAAGGAACATTTGTGAGGCGAGGCAGATCCGGCTGGAGTCGGCTAGATCAATGATGGATAGGCAAATATTTCTCGTCTAATTCTTTTCGTTGTTTCTTCACCATGACTTCTTGTTTCTCGATCGATCTGAGCACTTTGTCAGAAAGCAGTCGACGTGGTGGGAGAACACAATGCAAGCAACATGCGCCAAGAAGCCGCGCAGCACCGCCTCAAGACTGGCTGTCGTAAGTCCATGTCATTGAATGCAGGGTAGACTCATGTTTTTATGGGAAGCCAGCTTGCATTGTATCTTGCTGGTAGTTCGGTCGTGTCAATCGACACTCGTCAACACTCACGGTCAGGGGAAGACGGTAGGTATCTCAGCCCTACAGCTCATCCATCACTCAACCATGCCCAGGGGCATGCCAGACGCCGCGTAAAGCAAGACCGAAGCTATATGAATAATTTTTTTCAATTCCAGGGTATCATCATTATATGTAGCATTCGTCTTGCCCGACAAGACTTCCAGATCCGGCCCAGCCTTTTTGCTCGTACTCTCCCTTCCGAGCAACAACCCATCCTGAAAGACAGAGAGAGGGGGGAGTTTCCGTTTCTGTTTGTACGTGGCAAGAGGAAAGCGGGAATATCCGGGCCCTCTTGCCGTCGAGTCCCCCAAGCAGTTCCGTGTTCTAAATTTGACGTCGTCTTTGAGAGTCGAGTCCTCGCGCCAGCACCGCATCGCATCGCCCATTGCAGACGCCTGGCGGTCGCTGTGCTCGCTGTTAAAGTTGTATCCAAAACCAAAGATTCTCGTGTGTGCGTGTGTTCGCGACCGTCATGTTGCCCGTTTTCTAGTCAACCATTATCGACATCTCCTGAACGGGTCACGTCGCTCATGTCGAATCATTGCGCGTGCTGTGTCGCCGCTGGTGTTGTAGTCGCAGCCGCCCCCTCTCATCGAGTAGGGTGTGTCGTCATCGTCGTCAAATCCTCAGGCTCCCAATACCCAGAGCTCAACACCCAATACCCCAAACTTCTCGCCCTCGTCGCTTAGCGGCTCGTTGCCAAAGGTATGGCTGCGCCCGCTGTGGCCACGGTTGAGGCTGTCGTCGAGCCACAGGCCGTAGTGGCCGTCGCCGGCTCCGACGCTCAGAAAGCCCGTCTCGCAGTTGATGTAGTAGTCGTTGATGCCCGAGTACGGGAACGCCTTGAAGCGGATCGACTCGCTCGGTGCGGGCGACGGCTGGGCGCGGTCGTCGTCGGAGAAGGTCGAACGGACCGGGCTCGCGACGGTGGTTATCCGGGTGAGGTTCGTTGTGTCGGCGGAGGGCGGAGGCGGGAGGGGGGTGAGTGTCGAGGCGCGCCAGAGGAAGCACTCGCCGTTTCCGAAGTACTTGGGTGCCGGGCGGGGATATTCGGAGAGGTAGGCGCCGAATGTCTGGAGGCCGGTATTGTCAGTCTAACGGTGGTCGAATATAGCATCTCATTTGGCCACAAGTGCAAGCACGGAGCGGCCAGAGTCTGCGGGGTCCCGAGCCTTCTTTAACAATAAGGATGTACTTACGCCACCAGCGTCGTCTCTAACGACCAAAACGAACCCAACTCTCCGGCCCTGGTACATGGCTGCCTTCTGGTAGAGAGTTGCCAGGCTGGCCCCATCTTGTTCCAGGCTGTATACCAGCTTCCAGTCCTCCATGATCCGTAGTCGCTCCGGGAGCATGATGCGGATCTCTTCCGCGACGCCGGGGCTCAGCAGTCGTGCGCTCTGGGGCGTGCTCTCCTTGAACCCGTGAAGAACGATAGGGTCTAACGGCGGCGGTCGGAAGGGGCTCGCGGTGCGTTTGATGTGGGAGGGCATGAAAACGCCATTGATGCCGTCCATGAAGGCACCGCCGCCCGCGGGCTCGGTGTGGGCGTGGGATAGGTGCGAGGGCTCGTGAGGGTGGCCATGGCCGCCGTAGGATTCGGGGACGTCGGAGGAGAAGCGGCGAACGAGACCGGACCACATTGTCGATATCATGGAGTTGGACAGCGAAGGGTTGGCGGACGAGTGTGCCGGCGTGTGGGCGCCCGAAGACGAAGGGGTTTCCGGAGGGCTCTGGTAAGCCATCTTGGGCCTGGCACGTGGGCTGGATTGAGGGAGGCGTGGTCTATGGGTGGTTGAGGTCGAAGATGTGCGGGACGGGCGAGAAGATGTCGGTTGCGGGTTCAAAGGTAATCATCGAACGGATGGAGGTGGAGGCAAAGGCTACGACTGGCAGGTTGGGATTGTGGTGGTGGGAGGGAAAACGAAGGACGAAAACGACAGTGGTTGGGGTAAGCAGCAGGCAAGTTTGGTTTTCGGGTTGCCTAATAACATGTACCTATGATAAGGCCAGCAAGAAAGCCGGTATGAGGAGGTTTAGGTAAAGTAAATGAGGCCAGGCGGAAGGCAAGGTGGTCAACGGGTTTGGCATCGGTGCAACTTTGGCTTTCGGCCAACGGCGGTGAGTTCGGATCAGGGTCCCGCTGTCCCTTCTGCAAAGACGTGGAGCCGTGACAGCGGATTCTAGGTTGATTCACTTGAAGTAGGGAGTTTAAGTTACGTAGTTAATGAATGGATGCAGTAGTTGCAGTCGCAGTTGCGGTTGCAGTTGTCTCGGCCACCAATCGCTGGGAGGGAGGGGCATTTAGCTGAGGTGATGATGATGCTGGTGTCACTTCTGCTTGTCGCCGCGATATTCATTCTTTCTTTTGCGGTTGCATTTAACTGTTGGAAGTGGTGTGTTGCCAGAGTGGCATAGACCAGTTGGAAAGTGGGAATCATGCGGTATCAAAGCTGAGAACGCGGCTTGACCAAGCCTGACGTCGTTGGGGGCTAGCACTGATGGTGGACGCCACGAATGAGGGGTAAGATGCCTCAGATCAGGTAGGTACCTACGAAGGTAGGCAGATTCGTAGGTACATAGCTCTGTAGGTACTTTAATGTAATATGGATATGTTGGTTGTTCCGTTCTTTGCTCTACTAAGGTACTTCGTAGATAAGCGCCTGTCACCTGGATTTGACACGCAGGGAACGGCGTGACAGCTCTGACCAGCTGCGGACAGTTGGCGATAACGTCTTGTGAAGTGGCCCCATTTTCGTCCCAGCCATCCCCGGCCGGACCCCCGGGACGCCGGTCTCGTCTCCGGTTACGTACAAGTCGCAGCCCATGGCAATGCACTCTTACCCTAGCATTACTTGATAAGTCAAGCTCACGGATCCTCAGAGTGATGAGTCGAATCACGAGGCACATGAAGTGTACAAACGTGCAGGAAACAGCTTGGATTTCCCGTTCGTGGAATTGCTCTAACATAACTATTACCTTTAACAGGTCTGCTGTCCGTCATCCCGCTTGCGCACTTCCAGGGGCGGGCGAGATACAGCATCTCATGTCAGACTGGGGGTGTTCGTGACAAGAAGAGAACAAATGACACGACACAAACATGCGTGCCCACCGCCCCAAAACACCAAAACACCATGCCCGGACCCAGGCCTGGGATCCCTCATTTTTTCGGTATCTTCACATCCCTCCCTTTCGTCGTCAGAAATGCAGCGAGCGACGTGCCTCCCCAAACCGTCATTCCTCCATCGCGTATCGCATAAATGCAGACAAAAGTCTGCCTCCAATCCTACACCTTCATTCTTTGTACATGAATTGTGTTTCATGATGGTACATGACATATATATCCGTGAAATATAAATGAAAACAAACTACAGCGCCTTGCCGACGCTGTTTCCGCTGCCTTGGCTCACTTGGCTCGGTCTTCGTGCGGGCTTGCGCTGCTCTCCCGCGCGATAACCGGCTATGGGGCTCTCCGCCTCGTAGCGATTTGCGGACGTTCCGGCGACTGGGCCGACGTCCGGACCCGGATCGCTCCAGCCGTCCATGCTCACTCCACTGCTGTACTTGGAGCTAAAGCTGTCGGCTCGGGTGTGTGCTGAGCCGGGTATCCTGGGTGCCGATCCGCCAGCCTGACTGTAGTCGCTACTCGTCTGGGTCGAGCGGCTGCCCAGCAGTCCTGGGCGTTCCAGATCAAAGGGATCAGATCGGAACTTATCACGCCTCGTCGAAAAACTCTCTATGCTCTGCATGGAATCCCGATACATGGAATCCATACGCGGCGAGATAGTCGACCCGCTTGGTGGACGAGCGATGTTCCCACCGATCGATGTTCCCCTAGACCGCCTGACATCAGCCACGTATGTTGTTGGTGGCTTGACGGCGGCAGCAGGGGCGGAAATAGCATTCGAGTCCGCGAATGGGTTGTTGGCGGACGGGTTGACCACGGTAAGCGGTGCTGGCTTGGCTGAGTCGTGCGGCAGGGCGTTGATATCCGAGAAAGGATTGGTGGAGGCATTGTCGAAATTGAGTCCCAGTCCGCCGAGGAAGTGATCGGCCGATCCAGCGCTGCCCTTGCCTCGACTGAGGCGCCTGCGTTGAGCCTCACGTTCGACTTCCCTCTCGTCCATGCCCAACAACGTCAGGAAGTCGGGTTGACCGGCTGCGGCAGCCTTTCGTTCTTTCATGCCCCGAGAGGACGCAAAGGGATCCTTTTCGGTATTGCTGTCCCCGCGCAAACGCCAGTTGAACTTCATATCCGCCGTCAACCTTTCCCACCAATCCTTCATCCGGTCCTTGGTCGTAACCACATCGCGAGGTCCTCCTTGATTTGACAAGGAGGAACTGTTGCGGCTGTGTTGCGAAACGTTCATGAACTGCGATCGACCGCCGGTCGAGGCGCTGTCACGGTTACGGGAGACCAGGCCTCCTATCTGGCCGCGGAACCGATTGAAGTTGTAACCGAGAGCCGCCTTGAGCTTGGCTGAGCGTGGTGTCGGTCCCAGGGATTCGCGATCGATGACAAACTTCTCGCCGGTCCTGAAGCTGGGATCCGTCGATAGCGGCGTGAGCAGCGTGCTCCGGCGCTTCTTGATCAATCGCTTGCGCCAGAACCACAGGAGGAAGCCAAGCAAGCCGATGACTACCGCAGCACCCACAACACTCGACGCGATCACGACTGGCGTCGCCACCCCACCAGATCTGGTTCCCCCTGTCGAAGGCTGGCTGCTCGCGGGAGCATTGTTTCCGTTCCCGTTCCCGGCCCCGGCCTCACCTGCGGCGGTGCCTGGGTTGAGAACCGTAGGAGCAGCCGCAGCAGGAGTGCTCGTGGGCGATGGACTAACGTCACTCAGCGCGGGCGGCGTCTGAACTGGTGGTGTGGGGACTGCGTTGGCATCAGTCTGGCTGGTTCCTGGAGCGGGTGGAGGTAAGTTGGGAATGACAGGGAGTGAAGACGACGAGGACAAAGGAGGGACCTGTGCGGGTAGAGGCACGCTTTGTGAAGGAAAGCTAGGAATATTTTGGAACGTTGGGATGGTCGCCGGCGGTTCCGCATCAACAAGAGGCGGCGTCGAGGACGACGAAGGTATGATGATCGGTAGAGGGGGAGGGTTGGAGACCACGGGAGCAGGCGGCGCTTGTGTCTGCTGTAATGGTATAGAGGAGGGAGTTGTGGCTGGTGGAGGAGGTGGTGGTGGTGGAAGAGGGGGTGGTAATGAGGAGCTCGTCGTACTCGCTGAACTGGTAGTCAAGACGACCGGCGGCGGCGGCGGCGGAGGCGGAGGCGACGAAGTTGTCACCGGAGGAGGCGGCGGCGGCGGAGGAGGCGCTACCACGGGGGGTGGTGCGCTTGTCTGCGGCGGAGGTGTCGACCGTGTCGTCGAGGAAGAAGTCGAAGTCGATGTTGACGTCGAGCGAGACGTACTTGTCGATTGTCGGTTCTGGTTGTTCGTTCTCGTTTTCGCCCCCTTCGGCACAGCCGTACACCTCTTTCCGTTGAAGGTCGTGATAAAAGCCCCATCCGGGAGGTTTGATCGGTTGGGACTCGACATTGTCGTAGTGTGTTGCGATTCCAGTCGCAGAGTACCGAGTAGTTGAGAATCGAACAATGACCCTGAAAAGGGTGAAAAGAAGCAGAGATAAGAACTAGGAGAAGCCTAGTCGGCCATCTAGGTCGATCGGTAAAATCTCATGAGGAACCTGTTCAACGCGAAGAATGCGGCCGGAAGCCGTTCGGGGTGAGCCTGTGATGATGCTGAACGCGGATGAATACGAAAGTGAGCTGGTCTTTCTCCAAAGACTCTGCTATGATTGTTGTTGTCGTCGTGGTCGTCGTTTTCGCCGAGGCGGATAAGCAGACTGGAGTGCGATGGCCAGCACGTTGAGCTGAAGGTGAAGAAGTGAAAGTCGGAAACCGACTGGCGGATCGTGAGAAGAATCGAAAAGGACGAATCGAAGATGGTGGGAAGAGGAGAGGAAGAGAAGAGGTTGGGGTGAAGGGGGAGTAAGAGGAACAAGAGGGTCAGGCAGGGTAAAGCATGGGAAAGCAGGGTATAGTATGGTAAGGCAAGGGAAAAAAAAGGCCGGTGTGGTTTGGTTTGGAGTGGACTGGAGATGCAGCGGTAGGGTCTGGGTTTGAGTCCCGACCTTGTCGACTGAGGCTCGCGGGATGTCTCTCCGATCGAGCGGGACAGGGACCACACACACACACACACACACACACACACATAGACATACACTTCTTCCTGGACACCTCTCACACGAACAATGGTGCTATGCTACATGCAGGCAGGCACTTGCGTGTTACATGGAACAGCATGGACCACTTCCAAGTTCCGGGAGTGTACCGCAAGGAAAGGATGTTGGGCCAGAGGTGTGTGTGAGAGACAGAGTGAGAGAGTGTGGATGAGTTGAGGTTGTGGACATGGGGATTGGACGGTAGGCGCCGAGCGACAACGTTACTTCGCGTACCTCTCCTTACTTTAATCGAGGACGACCGAGGTGACAGACCCCCGACACGAAAGACAGGCAGACGAAAGAGGAGAGTCTGCGCCGAGGACGGGCATGCAAGTTGGAGCCGGAGCCGCTGCAGCAGCGCATCTGCATCTGCGTCTGCTTCTGCCTCTAGTTCTGCAACTACTGTGACTGCACTGCGAGAGACGGACTACGTCTACGCCGTGTGTTTTGCGCAAGGTGCCTCGAATCAATGCCGTAGTGCCGCGCCGTCAGGCCCGTAGTACGGATCGTG